TTAGATAGTAAAGTTAACCTATATAGTTAATAGTAAAGTTAACTACTAATTAGTGTTAGTAACACTAAAGGATAGGTTAATATAGTTAACTATATATATTAGTAGTAATTAATAAATAATAAAGGGTAACTATAGTTCTCTATTATATATAAAGAAAAGAAGAAAAATTATTGTAGGTTAGTTAGTTAAATAACTAACTTATTGCCTATAAATCCTTAGAGAATCTATAGCTAAATATCTAAGGATTCGCTAGCAATAAGTCATCAGGGTTAGCCTAATAACTCTAATATTTATCTACAATAGTTAACATTACAACAGTTAGGCTATTAGTTATATAAAGGACATAGACGTCTAAGATCTATTTAATAGTAACTAAATAGGCCTTAGATTTAGTATTAATAATATAAGTAGTAGTATAGTTATATTTAATACCTACTTTATATAACTTACCTAGGCTAAGAAGGTTAGCTAAGCTAAGAGGGCTATACTTAATATCTTTAATAGTCTAGTTAATAGTCTAAGTTAGGTTAACTAGATCCTTTGTCTAGAAGAAAATAGTACTATTGCCCTCTAGATACACCTAATTACTGTTTACTATAGTAAAAGGTTAAAGGTTACTATAGACTATATAGGATATAAAGTAGGTTAATAAGTTAAATATAGGGTTAAAGTAGCCTAAATCTAGTATAATATTAGAGGTAGTAATAACCTTATTATTAATAGCTATATATACTATATAGCTAGGCTTTATAGCTAGGCTAATAATAAAGAAGCTACTAAGAGTACCTAAGGCTCCCTTAATAAAAACAGAGGTTAATAATAAGTTAAATAATCCTTCTTTATAATCCTTATTATAGATATACTTAGTTATATAGGTAAAAAAGGTATTATAATAAAGATAATTAGTAAGAACTAGCTCTAGGTAAGTAGTCTAGTACTTTATAGTAAAGTAGTTTTTCTTATAATAAAGGTAAAAACTACTATAGGTAATATTCTTAGTAAAAGTAGCGCCCTAGTTAGCACTAGAAGAGGTTACTATTAAATTAGTAGTATTCTTATAGTATATAATAAGTCTTATTTTCTATTCCTTATCCTAGGCAAAAGTATAGATAGTCTTAATAACCTCTGCCTAGGTAGGCATCTTATTATTATTAGTGTAGTACTTATAAGTATCTAGTAGTTATACCTTAAAGTAGTTAAGTATAAGAATAGCCTAATAGTAGTTAAAGTTTTTACTATAGAGGCTAGTAATATAGCTTTAGAGGTATTAAACCTTTGCAAAGGTATTATAAAGGGTTTTATAGTCTTAGGTACTACCTTTACTAAACTTATTAATAAAGGTAATAACTATATCTTTAGATACCTTAGGGATAAACTTCTTAAGTGTTTTTATAAAAGTGTATAGGTTATTATTATTAACTTATCCTATATTAAAGAGCTTAATAATTATAAGGTTATAAGTACTAATAATAATACTATAGGCAGTATTATATTTATTCTTTTAATTCTTATACTTATTAGTATTAATTACTAGTTAAAGGACTTTATAGTTAATATATTTTTTAACTTTAGTAGTATAAAGTAATATATTAACTAGGACTTACTATTATAACTAGTTTAACTTCCCCTTTAGCTTAAGGATAGACTATATAACTATTTAGTAGTTAACCTTGTTAGCTATAATAGTAGTTAATTACTTATATAAAAAAGGATAATATAATATAGATAAGAGTCTCCCCTAGACCATAGGTAGCCTAATAATATATTAAACTTTATATATTTCCCTTATAGGATAAGAGGTATATCTAAATTATTATATAAATTACTACTTATTATTAGACGTCTAAGTAAGAGGGGATATAGGTAGAGGTAGAAGTAAAGTAAAAGTAATATTTTAAGTTTATTACTTATTATTATTATAAGGTAATATAACTATAGTAGACAGGTAGTTAACAGTAATATAGGCAGCAACTATAACGTTTTATAGATATTACTATAGACTATTAAAAAAGTAAAAAAGAAGAGGCAAAGGTAGCTAATTAATTAATTATAAAGAAAATTAATTAGTATTAACCTAGGCCTTATAACCTATAGGAGCAGTAAAGTAAGGTAATACTATTGTATTAGCAATAACTATAATATAAAGCTAACTAGGAGTGGGCTGCCTGCAGTGGGCAGAGGCTGGCCAAGAAGGAGGTAGAGGTGGGTCACGTGACCCATGGGCTCCTCCACCAACACAAAGTCTCCAACAAACCCTACCGATTATGTCAAAATATTTAATTGGGAACGGTTTCATATACAGGAGGCCGTAGATACTGATACGAGTGTAAGCCTGAGGCCGCATGACCAAGAAGCCGTTGGTGTCTGCCAGAACTCTGCTCACGAGAAGGAGGTGACTGGAGTGAAGCCTCGATATTGGCAAAAGTTTATGGTTATCTGAGAGCATTTAGCCAACCGGAGATGCTTCAATGGAGATAATTAGGCTTTTTGGAAGACCCCGAGTGAGATATGGTCGAGAGCTGACATCCACCTCCTCGTTTTTCTACTGTAAGTTCCGGAAGAGCACTATCGGCTTTTGATTTTGTCAACAATGGCCGTGATGCCCATCACCCGGAGATATTTGTGATTATCATTACAATGAAACTGAGAGTAATATAAAGTCCCTTGACATATCTCCAGATGAGCGTGTCCATTTTCGCTACCAAGAACAGCTTTGTGACCTGAGAACACTTCTGAGACACATTCAAGACCCTAAACCCGATTGCCAGAGATACTCTTCAAAAGAAAAAGAAATCGCAACAGAAACCATGTCTTATCAATCAACCCTTTATCTTACTTACCATATTTTTCTTCCGGCGCAGTTGCCCCAAGAAAACGACTTTAGTGTTGAAAACGAGAGGGCGTTGTTACAGTGTCTTTGTAACTCTCTTACCAAGTTTCGCGAGTATGTACCGAATGAGATGAAAGAAATCGTTGAAATAGCTACGAGGATGGCGTATGATATGGCTGCCGTTCATCAGCCTCTGGGCGACACCATCGCTGTTGATGAAGGCAAATTACTCGAAATGCTACAAAAGCTATCCCAAACAGGTATGCCTTGTCTTTCGGTCTCAGAGAAATCCGCTAAGCGCGCACAAGGATGTGTCATTCCCCTCAACATCAGGGCTCAGAATGCCGGAGTTCTGCTTACCAAGGTCGACGACTCAGTTCACTTTGAGGCGTTTGAGCTATCTCCGACCAACGAGGCTGTGATCACGACTATAGGTCGTCTTCGCCGAACCTTCCCCGGAGTCGGGTCTGTTATCGACCTTGAAAAGTTCAACGAGGCGGGCTTCAAGGAGACCCTAGCTGCAGCTCTGGCAAAGATGAGCTCTCAACCTGCCGCAGGAACTCAACCGCGCGCGAAGAAAGCAGGGCAATTCCACGACGAGAGTCGCGACACCGCTAGCCCGAAGATTGTTACTGAGCTTCTATATTCCTTCTTACAAGCTTCTGGAAAGTCTCTCGAAGCAGAAAGGCTTTGGAAGAATACCCGTGAAGAAGTTAATTGGGCTCGTTGTCTTCTGCCGTGGCGCCGTTCTCCGACATGGCTTCTCATTCGTGTTTGCCTGCAGTTGGTGTTCGGTCGATTGGCTGTCCTATCAGGCCACTCCGGGGATAGCCTTTACAAAACATTCATGGCTTTCATGATGGCCCAAGTTCTCGGTCTTGGGCTACATCATGAACTTCACTCGGATTTGATTCTTTCGATGGTCGCAAAACTCTCTAGACGCCTTTTAAAGCTTACGAACGAGCCCGCGTCTGCAGCAGTTGGTCATGTCCGCCAGACCATGTGCCGGGCGAACAAAACTTTGTCAAAGCGGTGGTCCGAAATTCAATCCAGAGATGCCCCTGGATTCAGTGTTGAGCTGGAAAGTCTCAAGATGGTGGACTTTGAAAAGGACTCCATCATGCACCTTCCCGATCTGGACAACTTTCTGGCATCATTTGACAAGAGAGATATCAAGAAAGCAGGTTCTGACTTTCATCCCTCATGGGAGATGCCAACATACAACCCCTGTAATCTGCCATCAGCTGTGAGACTACCCGACAAGGCACACTTGACTCTGCACCTGGCAAGCTTTGAAACCTGGGTCGACAAACACTTACAAACATGGTTTACAACACAACACGAAGGAGACTTAGAAAACGTGGTTTATTCAATGCGGAAAATTCTCGAAAGCTACCACGACGCGGCCAGTTCGTTCTACAACGGAAATCCGGAATTGACGTCGATCATGTTGCTGACAATCTTGGACCTCTGGATTGTCTGTGACAAAGCCGCGATACGTGTACACCCACTGCTCAAGGATTACGACCCCGAGATCCCAGTACATCTCTTTCAAAATCTTCTGCTGCCAGAAAAGCGTCATATGGAAAGGTTGCATGCTGCCGAGCTGTATCTCCAAGATCGCGTTGGAAATTGCAAGTCAAGGAGTTGGGCTCCAAACATCTACACAACCTTTGGCACTTTCACATGTTTCTCTGCTCGTTATTTTGATCAATCTTCTGAACACATGATTCTCAAAGAGAAGATCGAAGAGAAAGCCAGACAAGATCGGGAAGAAAAGAAACGGGAACTCGCTAGATTGAAAAGTGAGTACAATGACCTAATGAAGAGCTGGAGAGCCAGTTCCTGCGAATACTATGAGGTGGTCGACCGGTGGGGAGACAGCTCTCTTCGGCACAGCTGGCATTGCAGGGCATGTTCGCTTCTCGAACGTGCCAATGGATTGAAGATAAATATTCACGAGTGGCCGCTTCCGAGGAACTCCGCCGAGATAAAGTCAACGGTTTTCGAACTTTCATTGCCAGCGACATTCGGGAACTGGCGCGAAGTCAGTGTCTATTTTCTGTTTACTGTCCTCAAAGCCAACGTCATTTCACCAGAGAAGCCCCGTGCAGCATTTCCGTTGAATCGATACAAAGGCCTCTCTGGCTATTTCCGCGAAACGGTAGCACGACAACACATTGGGCTCCTGTCACAAGACAAACCTCATACGAGCACGCATCGGAACACAATTTCAGTTGCAACAGCCACTGAACGCGAAGTCTGCCTCGATAATGGGTTGAATTACGCGTACTATATGGAGCGCCAGAACCAGTTTCTCACTTCTTTCGAAGTCAAACATGCTATCCCAGAAGCCTGCATGTATCGCTTGTCGACAGATTCAAAAGCAATCCAGCGCTATATTTTCCGTCCATCATCTGAGCCCAACGGCCCTTCACCAAACACCGTGATAGCGACCATTCAGAAATGTCCGGATGGTATGCCGCTTGAAGAATATAAGGCTCTAGCGTCTATTCCTCTCGGTTACAGGCTTCAATGGAAAAACATCCTCATCTAACTATTCTCTCCTTCTGTAGATTTCAAGAAGAGGGATACAGCTCTTGTAATCCAGCAATGTGTGTATCAAGCTGGGCCACCAAGCGACTGTGCCCTCCGAAGTCCACACAAGATTTGCCAAGAAAGAGGCTTTGCATCGAGGATGTTGGAAGGTCTCTCCGAAGCCATTCAACGATTTGAAGAAAATTGGCAATCTTCGGCTGCCTTGGGGACTTTCACTGTTCTGTCCCGGCGCCTGCTTTCACTCACCCCTTACTCTGACGTTCAAAAAGAGTGCCTCCGTTTCTTGTCCAAGGCCAGAAAAGTCTTGTTTCATTGGGCGCAGACTTTGAAATGCAGGGCCCAAGGGTCATCTGAAGATAAAGATAAGCTGGAGTTGCAGCGCAGGGCTCTAGAAGCCTATCTACTGTGTGCGGACACATTTAACGTCGAAGAAGCGTACCAAAAAGCCGTCTTCCTGGACGATTCAACCATTTCAGTCTTCATGCAGTGTTCTATTGGGATTCATGAGGGTTCCCAAACTCTCTTAGCATCTCTTGAGACGCCCGTTCGGCAACTTTTTTCCCGTTGGCAGAGAACCTCATACCTGCATTGTGGTTTCTTGGCACAAAAGGTTCTGGCTGAGGGCAGCTCTGCCCTCGATGACACGATTACTGCATCGTGGTCTGTTTATCAGCCTAGCCGAAAATGGAAGATGTTATCCAAAACACACAGTTCATGGCTAACAAGCACAACCGCTTCGACAACCCCTATGATGGTGCATTTTAGTCTCATCACAGGAGAACTTTTAGTTGACGGTAATCCTTTGGATCATCTGCCGGGAGCCTATCTCAAGCATCATTCATACGGACACTTATTTGGCCGATTGTCTCTTGAAATCATGCCTACGCCGGTCCCGGGAATGCAATTCTCCTCCAAGAGACAGTATGCGGAGCACGATGTTCACCTAGGTCTCGGCCATTGTTCCAATAATTCCGAGGCAGATCTTCTGGTACATGCCTCAAAAGCCGGATCAGACTATGAATTGATTCCCAAGCGATGTCTGAAAGGAAACTTACCGACGACATTTGTTGACGAATACGTTCACTGGTGGGACTACAAGAAGAAGTGTGTCGAATTCCGCGACATCGCTACTCCGTGGAAGCATACGACGCCGCACTGGCTGCTTTCTAAAAACGCATCTGGAACCGGTTGGAAACTTACCCGAGATGACTCTTCCACTCTAGTCGATATTCGTAGCCGGTCAGCAAAGCTGATATCTTCAATCTTTCAGCCGCTCGAAGATCCCCTCTGGATACACATCATTCACAGGAAATCAACCTCATCAGTCACGGTAGAACTTCCTCGAGCTCGGCTTGAATTCAGTCACACGCCTGGCCATCCATCAATCCACTCGAGACAGTTTCGCGGTATGATGGTTGACTCGGACCAGTCCGTTGGAGCACTGATAGGCCTGAAAGACAAGCTGGTCTTGAAATCAGACCAATCTGACCATCCTTGGACGCCTACATGTCGCAAGGTACTTGTGTTGGAGGGCAAAGTATCTTTCTCAAAGGCAAATGACCACGTCAATGTCCGCATCGCCAGGGGTGCTTCAACAGTGCATGCCTACCAAGTAGACAGCAGACTCGCCAGGCTTGTAAGCAACAATGACTTGCAGAGTAGCCTTTTCCTCTGCTATCTACATGCGCTTACTTCTTTCGTAATTCCGGATCCTCTTACGAAAAGGACGGGTACGGAACAAGCCTTGTCTATACTGAGCTCAGCATCAGTCAGATCATTTCCATTCTTGACGCCAGAGAATGTGGCGCTCCTGGACAACATAGCCCAGCTTACGCCAGGTAGAATTTACTACCCTGCCAACGAGCGAGTCATGCAGACGGTTGGCTGGTCGTCACAGTTGAACTTTCTAGCTCAACATGGCTTGTTCTATGAGCAAGTTAAATCCATCTTTGAACAGGACAAGAAGTCCAAGTTCTTCCACCCAGGCGTATACATCAAACCACCGACACTGGAAAAAGTGGAATTGGATCTCCTGAAAAGAGACCTGATTCGTTCCTCAACGTTTCGAGTATCTGGATTCGGGGCTCAGAGCTATAGCCTGGATCATGACACCCAATATACAGCGAGAGATCGGAATAAGTCCTCGCAAAGTTCGCGTTCTTTCGCGATCGCACGCTTAGCTCTCTCCGAAGTGTCGTTTCTTGTGGAGCCCTTACCCGCGAACATGGCTTCACATCTGTGGAAATTTTTGTCCAAAGGTCCTCCGGTCCTCGGTCGTCCTCGCACTCCCCCTACTGACATCATCGCCTACCACGCCGAATTGCTTTTAACATTCCCTGAGTTCATAACCACTCACTGGATCGGGCTACAGAGAAATTTGAGAACCTCGGTCAACAAATACCGATTTGCGATTTGGCTAGCGACACTAGCTTTTGCAGAAGAGTCAGACATGGCTGTGCTCCAAACATTAGCCTTGTTTCGAACTGCCAAGGACGTTGCTAGCGTGTCGCCGCCACCAGCAGGAGATCATTTCAACTTGCGTAAAGGAACCAGCGTCAGCGCAATGGAAATACGTCAATGTCTCGGGAGAGTATATGTGCCTTTCACCGAACTGTCTGAAGTCGATCTATACAAAAGAAAAGGAGAATCAAATCAGTCTTACTATCAAAGACGTATGCAGTCGTTTGAGAAGAAGAGGGACGCGGCGGTGGCCAGTCTCATCGATATTCTTGAGGGTCAGTGGCCGTGCAGCACACCGACAATATCACGTAAACATACCGACGCGTCTTTATGGCGCCGATATATCAGGTTTGACGAAGTAGTACCCGACATCGAGTCTTTATTCAGAACTTGGTATGATAACCTTAAGTTCAAGCAATACATCCAAGAGATCACTCGTCACATGCCATCTCAAATTGCAACTCAAGACCACCCGAAACCCTTATTGGCGAGAGTTGAACCAGCATATTCGCACAGACCACGGTTTATTAGTGAAGACGCCATGTTCAGGCACTCTACGCCGCCTTTGATCGCTCATGGGACTTGGATTCTTGATTTTGAATCAATCCATGAACGCCAGAAACGCGACTATCAGTTGCCTGACCTGCTTTCCAGCCTTTCCGCCAAAGCTTCTGCACAATACCAAGACAAATACATTGAAGAACTGAGGTCAAGTTTGACTTCTTTGCAGCAGCTACAGCTTACGGACGACTGCAAAAGCCTGTCGCAAAACTGTACGGAAGAAAAGCTAGCGGTACATTTACAAACTTGGAAGATACACACCGAGAAACTCCAGAGCCTCATCATAAACGCTGTCCTCGGCCTGCAAGCAACCGACTCCGTGGAAAGCTTCACCGATATCTATGACTTCTATCAACGACCAAGACTTTCAGTCTCTTCTCTTTTGCAAAGACTGAACCACGTCCATCGGAGTCTGACACCGGCTGCATGGTCTGAATGTTTGGTCCAGTTTGGCACAGGGATTACTCAATTGCAGCGTGCGGAACGGATGCTGGCCTCACTGGGTGATTCGGCGGCTCTTATAAATGAGCTACGAAATCCAGGGCATACCAACTGGTCACCCAAAGAGTTTCCTGACACGCTGCTCTTGGAGATAGAGAGCGGGATTATGGTACGCGAGGTTCAAGAGAGCATCGCCGACAAGATGAGGACTCCACCCGGTAACGACAACGTCGTCATGCAACTGAATATGGGGGAAGGGAAATCGTCTGTCATCGTACAAATGGTCGTGGCAGCTATTGCAGACGGATCTAATCTTGTTCGAGTCATTGTTGCGAAGCCCCAGTCGAAACAGATGTTCCAGATGATGGTGTCTAAACTGGGCGGTCTACTCAACAGGCGCATATACCACATGCCGTTCTCCAGAGCAGTCAAGATTGGCCCGCACGAAGCGGAAGATATTTATGCAATCTTGAAAGACTGTATGGATTCAAAGGGAGTTCTTTTGGTTCAGCCAGAACACCTACTCTCTTTTCAGCTGATGGGTATTGAGACAGCCATCTCGGAGAAGAAAGAAGTGAGTGCTTCTCTGGTGAGGACCAAAGATTTTCTTGACCGTGTGTCTCGCGATATCGTGGACGAGAGCGATGAGAACTTCAGCAACAAGTTTGAGCTCGTATATACGATGGGGACACAGCGGCCGGTTGAGCACAGCCCCGATCGATGGATTTGCATACACCAAGTCCTCAACGTTGTGAGAAAATTCCTCCCAGAGATTCAGAGGAACGATCCAAGCTCGGTGGAGATCTCCGCAGGACATGATGGCTGTTTTCCCCGAACACGAATATTGAGGGAAAGCGCCAAATGCATGCTTCTCGAACTTTTGGCTCGCCATCTCAGCAAGGTGGGCACCAAAGGACTTCCTATGGCTTCCCAGCCTTCTGTGCTACAACATGCAGTATACACATACATATTCAAGTTTGATCTGTCTCATTATGAGATAGACGCGGTTGAGAGGTCAGAACTCTGGACTGCTTCAACGAAAAACACACTTCTCTTGTTACGAGGCCTCATTGCATGCCAGATTCTCAGTTTTGTTTTCTGCCAGAAGCGATGGAGGGTTGATTACGGGCCAGACCATAATCGAGTCCCCAGCACGCGGCTCGCTGTTCCCTACCGAGCCAAGGACAACCCAAGCGCCCGGTCTGAGTTCAGCCATCCGGACGTTATCATTACTCTAACGTCTTTAAGTTACTACTATGGTGGACTAGACAATTCCGAGATACTCCTCAGCTTCGAGCATCTTATGTTATCAGACCAAGCCGACTCGGAGTATGGTGTTTGGGTATTAGACAGCGATCACCTACCCGTCACTTTCCAGCAGCTGTCGGGTATCAACCTAGAGGATCGCCAGCAGTGCGAAGAGCAAGTGTTTCCATGCTTCCGCTTCTCCAAGGCTACCGTTGACTATTTCCTGGAACACATTGTGTTTCCTAAGGAGATGAAAGAGTTTCCGTATAAACTCTCAGCTTCGGGATGGGACATTGGAGCGCGGAAAGGAAACGCAACGACAGGTTTCAGTGGCACGAATGACTCACGAGCTTTCCTTCCACTGAGTGTCAAGCAACTTGATCTTCCAGACCAGAAGCCAACCAATGCACTTGTTCTGGAGTACCTGCTTCAAGAGGAGAACTCCGTGGTTTTGATGCCTGTGGTCAGAAGCGACACCAAGTCGGACGCCGAGATCCTGCTGGAAGAGGTCATTCGGTTGGACCCGCCAGCCCGTGTAATCCTTGATGTCGGAGCTCAAATTCTCGAGCTTGACAATCTCGGAGTTGCGAAAAAGTGGCTACAGATGATTGACGACAAGGAAAAAACGCAAGCCGTCATCTTCTGCGATGAAAACGATCACATCCGCGTTGTCGACCGCAGAGACCGGATCGAGAGCTTGCACACGTCGCCTTTTGCCAACCAGACTGATGTTTGTCTGGTATTCTTGGACGAGGCGCACACAAGGGGAACAGATCTAAAACTGCCCGAGGATTACCGCGCAGCCGTGACACTTGGGGCCAACTTGACCAAAGACAGGTTGGTACAGGGTAAGTTCACTAACGTTCTTCTCTTGGTAATATCTTGCTGAAACCTTGCAGCTTGCATGCGGATGCGGAAACTCGGAAAGGGCCAGTCTGTGGTTTTCTGTGTTCCTGACGAGATCCGGAGGAAGATTGAAGCGCGAAAACAGAATTCGGACACCCCGATAACTGTGGCTTGTATTTTGGAGTGGTCTATCTCCGAGACTTTCACGGACCTCGAGCGAGGCATATGGTTGTGGGCGAATCAAGGCCGCCGATACCAGCGCAACAACGCTCTTTGGAGTGAGGCTCATACCGATGGGGAAACCAAGCTGAGCGGTGAACATGCAGAGAAGTTTCTTGAGGAAGAAGCGCAGACAATCGAGAATAGATACTCACCACGCAACCGGTTCGACGCTTCTCAACTCAGCCCGGACACCCAACACCAGAACGATGATATCACCAAGAGGCTACTCCAGTTTGGAGGTCTCAACCCAGAGTCAACGACTTTTCGTGAGGAGCAGGAGCGGGAGTTGTCTCCGGAGGTCGAACAGGAACGTCAAATAGAGAAACCTCCTGCCGCAACCCCTGCCACACACACCATCCATCCCGATGTTCGAACGTTTATCTCTCAAGGTTTCTACCCATCACAGTCTAAAGCCTTTCTTGCCGCTTTTCGAGCGCTTTCTGATACCAGCGCTGCTAAATTTTACGACGTGGGCAAATTCAATCCCGGTCTGCTGGTTACGCAGGACTTTGCGCGTACCATTGTCCCGCTGGGCAAAGATTACACAGCCGACCTGTTTCAACGAAACGTCCAATGGATATTGACGAGTTCAACGAGTTCTGGCACTATCGAAACGGCAATTATCATTAGTCCCTACGAAGCGCAAGAGCTCCTACCGGATATACAGAACTCCCATTGCGTGGCGCTTCATCTCTACGCTCCTCGCCCAAATATGGGATACCGCGCACTTGACACCTTGGACCTTTATACAACGCCAAAGCAGTCTCTGAACAGAACTCTTCCAGACCTCTTCTTGACCGAACTAAATTTGTTCTCAGGTCAACTGTATATGAAGTCAACGAAGGAGTACCTAAGCATCTGTGGCTACTTAGGCTTGAAATTTCCGGATCAAGAGAGCTCTGAATCGGACGGTGATAGTTATTCTGCGAATGTTGCTTCATCTGAGGCTGCAAATTTGCATCAGTTTATGCGGATTCTTTTGGCCAAGATACGAAGAAACTGCCAGTCGATAGACAAGACGCACTTGGGGAGAATTTTGGAGTACAGGGCGCTCGAAGCCTCGGATTTTGTAAACGACAGGGGCCTTTAATGATTCGTTGTTCATGTTTTCAAATTGAATGAAGATCAGATTTCACATCTCACGTTGTTAGTCGAACCTGTGAAGGCATGGTCCTCGAGGTAACTGGCTCCATGCTGGTAGCTGAGAGAGAGCGTATGCGAAAAGCTTCTTACGGAATTTGTTCAACCACTGCACAAAATTAAACAATCAAAATCATATTCTATTCATTTTATTCCATCTCTTTTTATCTTCGAAGCATTGTACTACCAGATCCTTATGATCGCGATAGATGGCCTGGACTCTCGCACTCAGGCTACCAACTTTGAGCAATCGGTCAGCTTCCCCAAGTCATTTCCCATGATACTCATCTTTCCCATTCTTCCCAATGGATTAGTTAGGCCGTCCGACGCAGTAAAAGTGATATCGCACTTACGCTAGCTTGAATGCAGAGTTCCACTGTGTCTGGCTGGCCCCAGATCTCTTCCAAATATGCTTAGTCTCTTTAGCATTGCCGAGCGCAACATCGCTACCCTAGGAGGTCGGTGTCGTCTCCTCTAGCGTTTCCGGGTAGAAAAGGGTGCTATCCAGCTCCTCCGGGGTCGAGTCGAGAGACAGCTCCTGTAAGCTCTGGCCCGCACTATGAGCCCCAACAAGAGCCACAAGATCCGTAGCAGAGAATCCTTTGTTCTTGAAGGCGGAGATCTGGGTGGCTGCGTCCGAGTCTTGTGTGGGCAGCACGCCCTCGGCGCTAGGCACGGATGAATCCTTTCGCCCGACGAGGAAGTAGATTTTGGGACCACCAGGTTGCATCTGCATGTTTTCTTCTCTATCAAAGCATTCGTTGGCTAATATCAACGATCAGTCGCATGATCCAGGGAAACAGTCATGGAACGCGGCACGAATTGCCTGTTTCGCCTCACTGGGACAGCCTGCAAAAGAACCTTTCAGGTCTGCTGCAATCTCGGTCCAGACCGGGGGGCAGGATCGTGCATGTGCATTGCAGATCGTGGTGACTGATAGAGCAGCTGCAAGGAAAGAAGTTAATCTCTGAGAGAATTGCATTGTGTAGGTGATAATGACAGTAACGAGGTGAAGTGGAACTAGATGTCAAGACACCTCGACTTCAAGAAGGGCGAGTCCTCCCCGTGGACGCCTCTGTCTAACATGCAGATTCCGAGAGGATACCAGTCGAGTTGTACAACGTAAGCACATGCAATATTCGTGCTTGGTCGGAAAGGTTCTAACAATGGCCTTTACTAGTTCGGAAGGGAAGACATTCGTCATCGGCGGCTCCTTTTCCGGAGCCGGCACACGAAATGGAGAGGTCTACGATCCCAGGGCTAACACTTGGACGAAGCTGTCTGGGTGCCCGGTCAAGCCGCCCGTCATGCAGAGAGGCATGTTCCCCGACAGCCACGCACGGTTATGGTCATGGAAGAACGGCTCTGTCCTTCAGGCCGGTCCCGCCAAGCAGATGAACTGGTACGATACCAAGGGCACTGGGGCGAACACGCCCGCCGGCCTGCGGGGCGCCGACGAAGATTCCATGTGTGGCGTTTCCGTCATGTACGACGCGGTTGCACGAAAGATCTTCACGTAAGCCACGGAAAATTCCAACCCGTCCTCTGTTTTGATCCGCCCGATCTGACCCGTATCTCCAGCTACGGCGGTGGCAAGGATTATACTGGCTACGTATCAACCAGCAACGCCCACATCTTGACACTTGGTGAGCCCGGGCAGGCTGTCCGGGCGCAGAAGCTACCGGGCGGCAAATACAACCGCGGGTTTGCCAATGCTGTGGTCATGCCCGACGGCAAGATCTGGGTCGTGGACGGAATGCAGAAGATGCGGCTTTTCTCGGACACCACGCCCCAGCTTACCCCAGAGTTGTTTGACCCGGCGACGGGCAGCTTCACGCCCACGACTCCGCATCCCGTCCCTCGCAACTACCACTCTACAGCACTCCTGATGGCGGATGCCACGATTTGGTCCGGCGGGGGCGGTCTTTGTGGCGCGAACTGCAAGGAGAACCATTTTGACGGGCAGTTTTGGTCGCCGCCGTACCTGTTCGAGGCCGACGGGGTCACCCCGGCCAAGCGGCCAGTCATCCAGAGCCTTTCGGACACGGCCGTGAGAGCGGGAGCCCCCATTACCGTCACCATGCAGGATGCCGGTGCATACACGTTCAGCATGATTCCATCGCAACCACGCGCACAGTCAACACGGACCAGCGACGAATTCCGCTGGATGGACAGAACGGTGGAGATGACAAGAGTTACACGGTCAATGTTCCCAACGACTACGGAGTCGCGATCCCAGGGAACCATATGCTTTTTGCTATGAACGAAGCTGGAGTGCCTTGTGTGGCCAAGTTCTTCAAAGTTGCTCTGTGAGAAAAGAGTAGATTTGGGTAATGCAACGACCTAGACGATTTGGGGTAGTAAAGTTGTTAGTTGTTCGCTTAGTAGTACAAGTTCCCGTCTCATAAACATAATCGTGTACATTTGTGTAATCTCTGTGTGTATTCCAATTGCGGTGCTGGTAGTAAGTGTGATGGTGGATAGTACGTGCTTGTATCTGCGATGCGCGGGTTATGTTCGTGTATCCCTTTACCCCGTCATCAGTTACAAGCATGTCGATACAGAAGCCATGCCTACAACAATACCTAGATAAGAAGATGCAATAATTGTCACGATAGTTTCTGGGCACATATATAAAATCATCTATACTCCATACAAGGTTTCCATACAAGGTTTCCATATACTTGTTATACATAGGATTTCCGCATTGAAATAATTTCAATTTATCCAACCCCAAGGAGATGATCGCACAAGTTGCTGTGACATAACACAAGCCTTCCTATCAGGGCATTTACCAAAACATCGCTAAAATAAAACGAGGGTACTGCCATGACCCAGCTCCTCCAGTTCAACTAGCCATCAGCCTCTTATTGTTCGTTCTTCTAAGGGGACCGTGTTTCAGAGAAGCTAGATCCGATTCGCGGTCGTCCAGCGGGTAGCCGGGGCCGTCAAGTAGCGTCCGACTTCGACAACAGGCTTAGCACCAAGAGTGGAGGAACTAGCCTGCGAATCGAAAGAGCGACGGTGGTCGGTTCGTTGTGCCATCACACGCTTCGTAGCCTTGGAAGCGGGCGAGAGGGTGAAGGAGAAACGTCTGTTTGAGCTTTGGTGGCTCAGCCTTGGTTAGTTATGCCGTTTTTGTATTTGTCTTGAGGTTTCTGGCCCGGGAAACTCACTTGCGGGCCATCGTGCTGGTATATTCAAATAATGTTTCGGGGTTATGTGGTGTGTCGTGGGGGATTTTTGCTTGCTTGAGATTTGTCGCCTTTGTATTGGGTTTCTGGAATGCATCCTCTTTTTTGTCCGGAATGGAATTTCGGGTGGTTTATATACACCTCGAGGTCGAGGGCTCTTTTACTTTTGGCGTATGGTCGGTGTTGAAGGCTTACAATAAGTGAACATCACGTCATACACGTCCGCAACCACGCAGGTATTGCGACTATCATTACTTTACACGTAAGAGGTAGTTTCAGACTCGAGTACCAGCTTACAGAAGATCAATCATCGCCATCGCCAATGGTATTCGCAATCAGCCTTGTTCATTCGCAGCCTCTGACATCCACATCCCATGGTTTAGGGGTGTCATGCGCCGCCTCAATGACGCCCCCCTGTGGGATTTCGGACTGTAGTGGTGGGAAACTCATATAGGTTCGAAGTTGCCGTCTGCGGCGCAGTCCAATTGCGATGGCCAAAATCAGCCGGATCGTCGGACCCCGAACTGCTTGGGACCCTTCTTGCATCACCATGCAGGCCAAGTCTGCCCCAAATCCCACAAGCAATACATGCCGATAAGAAAAATCATTCAGGTCTCTACTTGACCCAGTGGCAGCGACACAAATGGCTGTGGCGCGGGCGCAAATCACCCGATTCACAAACGGGAGGATGATATCGAAACGAACAGAAGTCTGGGCGATGACGAATGTCGTTTCCGTGAGGATTGCAACCTACTATGATCACTTCATTGACCGAGACGATGATCACGTCGATCGCATCCTCCCCTAATAACTTGGAAAACCGACACGATTGTTTCCTGCAAGATTGCACTGCTTGCCAACCTGGGACTGTCCCGAGGCTTCCGGGGCCCACCCGGGCGTCCTCCGGGTCTCGTCGGCCCCGGGGTCTTCCGCCACAGCTCCGCTGTATCGATTAGTAAGCAAAAAAACTTTGCGTACCGGTCTGCCAAATATGAATCTTGGGAAGGCCGTGAAACCTCGTCGGCATTGCAGAAAGACGCCATCGACCACCGACATGAACGCGAAAGGCTCGCCAGCTGCCCAGGGCTCCAGCGTCCCGGCGCTACCTCCCAATGTAACCATCTTCTCTCCAGCGAAGCCTAGCACCGCTGAGGCTCTGCTGAACGGCCACATCTTCACCCGACTTACGGCCAACGCCCAGGCCGAGCCCTCGAAGCTTGCAGCAGCGCTCAAGGACGGGTCTCGCCACGCGGTCGACGACACTTTCTGCTTCAGCCACGGCAACGTGGTGCTCATCTTCGACGCGGAGAGGGACGGCGTGGATGTGACTGATGCGCATCACGAGCACTTCCGCCAGGTCTGCCTGGCGCTGAAGGACGCAGACATCAGCCTCGATGTGGCTGGTTGCATATTCGATTCTCCCAGTGCTTTGCAGGCAGGCTTTCAACTTGACACGCTGAGCTCGGGCTCAATTCTCGTCATTGACCTGATGGGAGGAGACGACCAAGACTCCGACGATGAAGATGACGAGGCTGCCGCCGAGAAGCTCTTGATGAGTGGAGACTCGGGAGCGACGACGTCGTGAAACCCTGCGTTGTCAAGCTCAGATAACCTTCCCCATCATCTCGCGCACGCTGTGGCTGAAGGCTCCAACGGAACCAGGGCCATACTCTATTTGCCAATTTTTCTTAGGCTCCCAAGAGCCAAGACTTGGCGATGTTACTCCGCGGCCGTGTCCAGGGAACCCCGCAAAACGGTTATACACACTGAAAAAAAAAGAAGAAGAAAAAAAAGAAGAAAAGTACTGGAGGATACGCACCCTTGAAAACAGTGAAAGGGCGCACGCGCATCGCATCGTTGGATTATAGACTCGATACTCACTTGGCCAAGTCTTGTAAGCGATTATTTCCTCTCGGTAACAGTCATTCGAGATTGAGATATCTCCTGAGCAGAGTCTACATACAGTTATCCAATGGCATCCCACGCCTTGGCTCAATATCATATGGCCTTATAAGAGGCGAGGTGCTGCATCTGCAAAGGCCTGATCCAGCTCCAGATGTTGAGGGTGATTGAGCTTTCATAGCTGTAGAACCGGTCGACCCATTTTACTCCATGTATATCATCACCGTGGACCTCTCCAACTAGACAATGGCACGCGCACCTCTTACCGGAACTCTGCGAGATCAGTAGGTCGTTTTGGATACAAGTGTTGGGCATAATTGGCGTGTCGATGCGGAATGAGATTCAGGTCATCGCAAACGCACCCCAGAATACGCGGGTTCATTGGTCGGCAGTAATCAGAGCTGATAATGATCTTATACAAATCGTTAAAAGAAAAAAGAAAAAGGAAAAAGGAAAAAGAAAAAAGGGAAGAAGAAGAAGAAAATCAATTGCAGGCGGCCAAGAATGCCAAGCTCGGCGAACCTGGCCACTCGTATTGTCGGTCCATATGCTTAGATGTTTTCTAGCTTTGTGCCGCCTTTTGGGCGACATCGGCTTCTTGACGTGCATTGGAGCCTCGATCCCGATACAACGGTAATGGCCGGACGGTACGCCGGGCACCTCGACCAAGCAATCGGTCCCAAAGCCACGTTGTGTCGTGTTGTGTCATGCAAACCGGCACAGAAACGTGCCCTCTGCACCAGAGCAGCTTGTCAGAGACCAACGGCCGTGGCGTCTGTTTGGTGCACAGCGGTCTGTCTCCAGGGATACAAATCGCTGGGAAGAGGTTTTCGTTCACGCCACAGCCGTTTGGGCTCCGCAAGACTCCGTCCGCATCCTGCTGTTTGGTCGAAGCCTGTCGTATCCATGCCATGGCGGCAAACCACGGCCTATTGGACTGGGAGATGAGCGCTGCTGATCCCGACCCTAACTTAATGGCTCCCGCTTGCTATGTAGGAAGGTCATTGGACGGGTTTCCCCACGCTGCCCTCGTCGTTTTCCTCGTCTTGTCTGCTCCGCTGCTCGGCTCTCACACACCACACAAGCCTGCCGGGACCGGTGTTTTTGTTTCTTCTTCTTCGTCTTCTTCTTCTTCTTCTTCTTCCTCCTTTCTTCTCCGGAGCAGCATCGTGTTGTTGTCAGAAGACGGACGCATCTCATCCCGCACTTGGCATTAATTGGTCGCCATCCAGCGGGGTAAACCCCCCCGGTCGATACATCGGCCCTATCCATAATCAAGCCTTCCCATTCTCCCCATCCGCCCCCTAGCGCCTGTATTTCCCCCTCCCACAAGTTTTGACGGGACAAACTGCGGGATCCCCTCGGGGAAGTTTGGCACCCTAAAAAAGCTGGGGAGCTCCTGTCCCAGAAATCCCGCCTTCGGGGCTCTCCAACGCTCCAGCTGACCTTTCTACACGAGTTTGTGGCCCGGGCAATGGGGCAACGAAGACTGATTCAGTCAGCCGTCTGTGATCCCCGGGATGCAGGGTGACGTTCCCCGTGGATACAAGCACGAGCTGGAGCCGCTCCGTGCCTTGTCACCTTGTCTATCCGTGCTCAGTCCCAAACTAGTTTGGTTTGGAACTCTCTCTGTCTCTCTCTCTCTCTCTCTCTCTCTTCCCCCCCTTCTCCAAGTCCCGGCCTGCTTCCCCGTGGTGTTCCCCACGTCATCCTGATGCGGCCGAAGAAGCTCCATCGGAGGCGTGAATCCTCGATTGTCGTTGGTGGTCTACCTTGGCTCGGAGGTCGAAGGACGAGGAACTGCAGTAGACTGGGGGCTCTTCGATCCGTCATCCCGGCCTACACTCAAATTCTTACTTCCCACGCGCGCGTGTTCGCACCGCAGTAAACTAGGGTTCACCCCAATTGGAAAACTGCTGTTGAGAGGAGGCGGGGGATGGTTAATTGTTTCCCCTCCCCCCCGCGAGGACCACGGGACTTGGCCGAAGAGCGCGCCGCCATCCTTTATAACTTTGGACCATCCCGTCGTATGTGAAGCTTTTTGGAACTCATCTCGGGTCAATCCAGACGTCCTCTGAGTCGGTCCCCTCCCCCCCCCCCCCCCTCGTCTTCTCAGCCCACGCTCGCATCCGACCTCCTCATTGTGACAAAGAGCAACCGCAAAGATGGCGGCCGCGAACGACCAGATGAGCATCACACCGGGTCTCGACACCAAGGGCGGCGATGTCGCCAACATCGAAGACCAGTCCCCCGTGGATCCCAACGCGCCGCGGATCATGAGCCCGGAGCGCCGCGCGGCGGTCGAGAAGAGCTTGAAGCGTAAGATTGACACGCGATGCTCGCTGTTCGTGCTCATCTACATCATGAGTATGTGCTTCTTCTTTTCTTCTCTTCTTTTCGCTTGCTCGCTCGCGCCGCGCCCTTGCTAACACCAACGGGGGGGGGGCCAGACTACCTCGACCGAAACAACATCGCGGCCGCCCGCCTTCGCGGTCTGCAAACCGACCTCAATCTCAACGACACCCAATACGCCACCTGCCTGAGCATTTTATACGTCGGCTACATCCTCATGCAGGTCCCCTCCAACATGGTCATCAACAAGATCTCGCGCCCGTCCTGGTACATCTCCGCCGCCATGGTGATCTGGGGCCTCATCTCGACCCTGTCCGGCGTCACCACAAGCTTCGGCGGCATGGTCGCCACGCGCTTCTTCCTCGGCTTCATCGAGGCCGCCTTCCTGCCCGGCGCCCTGCTCATCCTGTCCAAGTGGTACACCCGCCGCGAGCTCAGCACCCGCAACGCCATCCTCTTCTGCGGCAACCTCATCTCCAACGCCTTCTCCGCCCTGATCGGCGCCGGCGTCCTCTCCAACATGCAGGGCGTCCTCGGCCACGCTGCGTGGCGCTGGCTCTTCTGGATCGAGGGCGCCATCACCATGACCGTCGCCCTTTCCGCAGCCTTCATCCTCCCCGACCTGCCCACCAACTCCAAGGGCTTCACCGAGGAGGAGCTGTACGTTGCGCAGCTGCGCATGACCGAGGACGTCGGCGAGGCCGATGTCGACTCGCAAGAGATGGGCCCCATGGACGGGTTGTACATGGCCGTCAAGGACGTCAAGATCTACGTCATGATGATTACCTTTACGGCCTACGTCGTCGGCCTGTCGTTCAACGCCTTTTTCGTAAGTTCTGCTGCCGGCAATCTTGGAGAGGAGGATCAAAGGTTCCCTTGCTAACGTGACCTTCAGCCCACTCTCACCGGTACCCTCGGCTTCAGCTACGTCCCGACTCTGCTCATGAGCTCGCCTCCCTGGGCCTTTTCCTGCATCGTCTCGCTTATCAACGCCTGGCACGCCGACCGTCAGCAGGAGAGAGTAAGTTTGACCGCGCACTTCCGAATGGACATGTTCAAGTAATGCAGTGCTAACATTTCCTCGTAGTTCTGGCACATCGTCGGCCCCATCTGCGTCGGCCTGGTCGGTTTCGTCATCTCCATGTCGACCCTCAACGTCGCGGCCCGATACGTCGCGCTCTTCCTCCAGGCCAGCTCGTACGCCGGCTTCATCGTCTTCTACTCCTGGATCTCCTCTTCCTTCCCCCGCCCGCCCGCCAAGCGCGCCGTCGCCATCGCCATGATCAACGCCTTCTCCCAGCTGGGCAACATCGCCGGGTCCTACGTCTGGGGCCTCAAGGACCACGGCTTCCGCCAGAGCTACGGCATCGTCACTGCCATGTTCGGCGTCACCATCATCGGCTGCTACGTCTTCAAGGTCATCCTCGACAACCTCAACAAGAAGCTCGAGGCTGGCGAGCGCGAATGGGAGGTTCACGGCGACGTTGCCCAACAGACCGCCGAGGTCACTGACGGCGACGAGATCGCGGCTGCTCGCAAGATGGGCAAGGGCTTCAGATACCTTGTCTGAGCGCTATGGATTATCAATATGTTATTAGTAGGAGAATCCGCGGTCATTTTGATACCCATATGTATATATATATAGCATATTCAAGTAAAATATTCGTCGGAAGTACATGATAAAACCTCTACAAGTTGCGAAATGTGACCGTGTTTACGTCGATAAAATGAATGAATAATATAATGCATTGGTCCTCCTTTAGGGTCTTAGTTCCAGCCTATAAGGTTTTCATGATTGATATGTTGCACGATGCTCGGTATGGTCACCATCAGCAAACGACTCTCTTATTGGGGTGACCTTGTCGAGGGTTATAAATTGGACAGATATACTCCGTACCCCCAACAGAAAAAGAAGCAGACTGCAAAGGAGCCAGGGAGAGAGGGCGGCCGGTTGACAACCCCTGCCTGAACGAATATGACTTCGCCAGCCATGGGTTTTTCGTTATCAAACGTCATGTCAGCACCCCGGTCATAGTCCCCGCCTTGTTTGCTTGACGAGACCGACCGACTTTTCCACTCTTCACCCGGCCAATCCCCACGTTTTGCAGAGCCTGTCTTTTTGTGGGACAGAATGCGGATGCTTGGGGGAAGATTCCGGAGCATTTCTGGAGTTTCCCTCCGAGTTGTACTCGGAGTCTGACCGAGCGCGGGAAACTGGCCGGTCTTGACAAGGATCTAGACGTGCCTGGATGGGGGTTTATGCCCCGCATCCCGTCCCCCCTCTTCTCCAAAGTCTCGAAATGGGTTCCGTCTTTACTGCGGGTTCGGGTGAGATTCCTTGCTTAACCGCTGTAGCCGTGGAGAATGTTCATCCACAACCGCGGAGCCCCAGACACGAACGCGGGAGCGGGAGCGGGAGCGCACAGGTTGTCTGTCAGTCAGACTTCTAATCATTCTCAGTTGTCCGCTTGGCACAATTTCCCCTCCAATGCTTGCTTGCTTACTTGCTTGCTTGCTGAGCTGGGATTCAATGTCGTGTGTAGTTAAGATCCACTCAATGCCCAGCAGAAACACCGAGGAATGTAATGATGATGATGCTGCTACTGTAAGCGCCTAAAGCCTGCGCTTTTGATGAGATTCGTAGTCTAGGGAGATTCTACATAACTATGGACGACGTGTTCGTGGTTGGGCTAAACCTGCGCCGTCGATTCTGTAACAACAGTGAAAACAAGGCATGCTGTGTAACGGTAAACAACATTACACCACCCCAGCGTCAACTGCATCGGAGCTTTTTCAAATCAAGCTTTCTTGCAGGTTCGGGAACACCCTCCCGCGACCCCCTAGGCTCTAGGTTTGAACTCGGTTTGTCACATCGCCCGTCTTGGCTCCCCTTCTGGATGAACCTGTTAATGTGACGAGATAGCCGGAGCCGGTTGCCGAAACCACCCGGATCCACGACGAAATTTCCAATGCTGTAAAACCGACCGACACACAGTGCCTTGAAATCTGAACGCCTCTTTGCGATCCTCAACCGTGGCAGCTGCAAATTGTATGATAGGCTGATCACGCGGCTCACCACTTCGTCATCATGGAGCCATATGGTGTACACTCGGTCTTCTATTGTGGCTGCGTCTTGGCTACGCTGGTATTGCTTTGGAATTTTGAATGGCCCAGCTGGCCAAATGAAATATGAAGGCGTTGAAAAGGTCTGCGAATTATTTAATTTCTCCCATTGTTCATGTTGAAAGAACCTGAAAACCCCAAGTTATGGAATAAAAAGCCGATATCTGCCAACAAAAATCAGCACTTATCTTGGCAGCACTGTGAAATGCACAGGTCAGACATATTTCCGCGCAAAAAAATAAAATGAAATAAAAAATGAGATACCAAAGGTTGCCGGCGCACATGTAAGTGTTGACATGGCTAGCAGGGGCGGGGAACGGCGAAGGGGACGGTGAGAAGGCCGGGGCCAGGAGGCGACGCTGCAGCAACCTGTGCATTCTCAAGGTCCTCAAATCAGCGTTTATGATATGGCATAGTTATATCATCATTTTTAAACGTCCTTATCCGAACTTGACACTTCCCAGAGAGAAAATGTGTTAACATTGAGTTGAATTGTGAAAAAGTTCCGTAGGCTGCAGATCAAGAACGGCTAGAGCAGATCCTCGACGTCGCATAGCCTTGATGACGCTCACAAACGAATGTTCATTAATCAGCACCTTGATCCCGGATCATGCACCTGAGAGATGGGCGAGGAACACGATATCCACTCGATTTGCTGTTTAGTGTAACGCATCTACTGGGGAATGCCTCCGTCAACGGACTATCCTAACGTGAGGCATTAACTGTCTAGAAGTGTCGACTCATCGTCCATGTACATCAAGTTTACCGGCTGCTAATGATTGACTGCCTCGGGCCACCTTACCTCCTTCGACGGGAGCCATCAAGCAAGCCTCTCCCACCAGGCGGGTGCCTTCATCTTCGCAATAGCCTCGCCAGTCATGATGCCGTCGACTAGGATATCTGTCAGCAAGTTTCTGTGTGGTGTTCTTCCAGCAAAGACTGACCCTAGGCCTCACCGACCAGTTCGGACATACCCGTCTCGCCGTTCGGGCCGGGGGTGCTCTCTCTGAGGAAGACGGGGAAATTGCACCCGGCAATGACGGAGACCTTGTCACCGGGCTGCACCGAGGACGGGCCAAGGCAGGCAAGCTGTCTTTTCTTTGCTATGAAGAAGCGCCGTAGCGGCGCGACGTTCTCAATAACTTCGCGCTTGCGCTCCAAACCTCCTGAACAACCCACGTGCGGTTCCACCATGAACGGCTGAGAAGCTGGTCGACGGCGGCCCAGTCGCTGTGGTAGCGTTCCTGGAAGAAGGGATACATTGTGTTCTCATCAAGAATAGGAATGCCAAAGGCGATGTGGCTGACTCTGTAGTTGTCTTGCCAGGCCATCATGCCTCTTTCCCACCTTTGAGTCCGTCCCCGGCGCTCCAAGGGATTCCAACATCCCAGGGTGATGTAGTAATCGTTGTTCATGGATGTCTTCCATCTGACGTCGTCGACCCATTCTCGGATAAAATCCCGCAAACAAGCAAACGCCGACATGAATGCCCTGGACAGTTCTGCCCCCCCCCCCCCCCCCCCCCCCCGCATCGGCGTCCGTGTCTCCGTCAAACAGAGAGGCTGGTGAAGAACCAGTAACAAGTTCGGCATCATCTCCGACGGTGGTGGATAGCCCCTGGGTCGATTGATTGTCGAAGCTATCCGCGTTGTCCTCATCCTCCTGCTTGTCAGGATATATTTCGTTTAGTACGGCGCGGCCATTGCCAGTCTCCAAGCTGGTGTCTGATGCCACTCTCTCGCCGTTGATTCAATGCCCCCTCTCGATATGTTTCTCGTGGATGGCCATTTTCTTCAGTAACTCGAGGGCAATATCGCTGCTGCCGTCCTCCGTGGCCGGGCCTAGCCAGATGACGGTGCGGAGGGCGCGCATGTAGATTTTCCGCATTTTCTGCACCTGCACGCTCCGCCCCGAGGTGTCGGTCTGGTTGATGCAGATGGCATCGATCCAGAGGACCCGAGGTTCAGTGGCGCGACGAAGGGACTGGAGAAGGCATATTACGTGGGGCGTGGCTGGAAGAGACAGCGAGGCTATCTGTGAATCCTTCGGATCCCCAGGCATACGAAAACGCCTCATACTCAGGTGCCGCTCCCAGCGGCGTCGACTGTAGCGTGCATGAAAGCTCGGCTGACACGTCGCCAGGATGCAGCGTGAGCAGCCGGATATAGCCCTGCGGAAAGTGTTGGTAGATGGAATGGATTTGGACCAAACGGAAATTCAAGTAAGTTTTCCGCCTGGTTCTCGTAAATAAGACCAAGAACGCGTTTGTGGGTTGTGGTTGAGGAAAAGTCATAAGGGGCAAGACAGATAGACGCCCATCCAACCCCCCCCTAGTCGCGTCAGCAACTAGTTCGTCGGCAAACGGCGGGACGGACGGGCGCTTCTGCATGCACCGGGGTGTCATAGTGAATATGCATATCCACTGTTAGGTCTTGACCTCTCGGCGCCCTTTTTATCTTGTGTTTTGCAATATCCTTGATGAGCAGCACCATTGCTTCAAGTCTGTTGCCGTGACATATTTCTTGATCATTGATCAAATAATAGCCAACGGGAAGAGACCTGACGTGCCTTGAGACTTCAAATGGCGTCCAGATCCGTTAACTCCAGGCTTTCACAGGCTCCAACACATCGAGTGGCGTAATAGTCTAAGTGGTGGATGCTGACGAACAGTGCAACGAAGGTGGTGATCTCGAGAGAGGCAGGGGGCGTAGCATTCACGAGTAGCCCATGCTTGATGGGCTGCTAGACGGCAAAAACAAGAACCCGTATACTTGGCAATTGCATTCATGATATCGTGGGTATGCGAATAGACCTGCTGGACCTGCTGGACCTCCTGTCTACCGCCCAACAATCTGGCACCTCGAGCGTGCGGGACGGCGAAGCGCCGCTGCTCGCGTCGGGCGAAGGGATCGCTTGCATGTAGTAGTCGGGCTGCTGGGCGTAATGGCTCGAGCCTCCGACGCGAGAGTCGTGCCCCAGCTGGTAATCTTTCAACAGCGCGTAATAGAAGGCCGCGTTCGCGACGATACAAGCGCAGAGTATCTCTATGGATGCCCACTGACGGAAATCCGTTAGCTTTTTAGTCTGTTTGTAGCAACGCCACGGGGGTCGCCTACCATGGAGCGAGACCTCTGCGATACCGCCTGGTTTAGTATCATGGGCAGTCGCATGACAGTAATAGCAACAATGAGGCCTGCGATGCTGAAAAAGAGGATGAGTTGCGCCTTTCTGCGGACATGTCAGTATCAAGGCCGAGAATCTCGCCGCGTGGAGGCTTCGCCTACGCCTTGCCATCAAGCTTGATGTGCCGCAGGATGGGAAATGGGAAGATGATGAGAGCGATATCGGTGATGATGTTGAAAACGGCCATTGTGATCAGGTTTCCCAGCGCTCGGTGACAGGTATCTAAGTAGCCACGTTAGTTTGACTGCACATGGCAGCAGTGGCGACAAACATACTGGCACCAGAAGGATCAGGAGACCACATCCTGCAAGGATATTTAGAAGAAGCACATGCAATAAGGCGAGGTGGAGGAACCCACAAATCTAGTGGCCGGCATTCCGCGAGGGTGGGTATCAGAATAACAAAAAATGTAACGACGATGAACCACCAGAGGGCCGTGGTGGCGGCTTTGCCCCAATGGAAAACATCGACGAATCGGGAGTAGAAGTTGAGCAAGCAGAGCTTCAACGACCATAGGCTGAGACGGACAAGTGAGTCAGCGAGCTGCGATGGGCGCGCGGTTCGCCAGCAACATACAACAGAGCGTAGAATATCCGCGCCGGGATAATCAACTTGTGCGAGACGACGTAATACTCGGCCAGCTTCTCGAGGGTGAGGCCGCGCGCGGCCGCTTGCCCCTCGGTGGCGGGACCGTATGTGTGTGTCGGGTTGAGCATGAAGGAGACGGAGATGCAGGCCGTGCGGCCGATGAGCGGGACGAGGGCAAAGGCCATATAGGCATCGTCGGCGTGCCATGTCCGGTGGCAGGATGCGTGGACTCTGCACCGCCATAACAGGCGGTACCCGCAGCGTATGAGGATGAGGGCGGAGCAGACGCCGGCCGTGACTAGGTCGAATGCCACGTCCGATGACATGACTTCTGTCGAACTTGCAGGGTCGGTCGTTCTGTTTTGGAGGGCTGCTCGGTGGCGGCAACGAAGGCCGTTATGCCGGCGCTGGCATGGTGTTTTTGTAGGTTGAAAAACGCTCTCTCACTCACACACACACACTCTCTCTCTCTCTCTCTCTCTCTCTCTCTCTCTCTCTCTCTCTCTCTCCCGCGGCGTAGCGACGGTCCTTTGCTTTCGTTGTGTGGTGTCGATTTGAGTTTATAAAATAGCCTCGTCAGTCTTTAAGAGGGGGAAGCCAACCAGCCACCTTGCCGCCGCCGCCGCCGCTGCTGCTGCTGCTGCTGCGCCTTGACTGAAAACGGCCCGTTCCAATTCCTCGAGTCTTTCGCAGAATGTGGATTCTGGCCGTTTGAATAGTTTAACGTTGCGGGATGTGGTGGAGAACGAGGGAGACAGGGAGACTCGGATGGGACGAACTGACAGGCAAGGGAGGTGCCAACAATTTCAACAGAAATGGCACGCGCCGGTCCAAAAACGGATGCTAAGAGGAACTTGAATGAGAGGTGGCAATAGTAGAGAATCAAAGGGACGGGATTCTGAGTCAGCTACTACCACACCCCTCCTCAAGCCATAACCAAGCCAACTTTGCTCTAGCGCAGCTCTTCTGGACGGCGTGGCTCTGATCCGGTAAAGAGGCACACAGCCGGCAAGGGAACTATCATCTTTTAGGCGGGAAACAAGCGAGATGCGGGCAGATGGAGGAGGGTGTGCGGGGGAAGGGGTGGAAAATGAGCATTCTTGAGCCTTGTGTCTTGTGGCATGGATGATGGCTGCCCAGTTGCATGCAGCTAAGCTTTCGAAATGCCATATATTTATGATCCGGCACTGCGGTCCACGCCGGTCTGCGATGTGATTCGTACGATGGTCTGGGGGAAGGGGAAGACGGAAACTGAAGCCTGGTTGTTCCAGTCCCATAGCCAACAAGGGGGGAAAGCCAAGGGAGCACAGCCTGCGGATGAGCTCTCCTGCGGCTTTCGGGCCCTACTAGCAGGCCGAGCTTCAATCTCCCTACAGGGGGGTGATGATGCATGGGGGACATCCATATAATTGGCCTAGCCAAGGATCCCGTGGGCTGTCACACCTCTCGCCTTCGTATTCATGGGAATGGACGTTGCAAATGCGAACAGCTTCCGCCTTTGAGTTGACGGGGGATCCGGTCCGGTTTGCACGTTTTAGTGTCAGGACAGGGCGGAACAGGCAATTGTTCTGGACCCTTCAGGGTTTCTTTCGTTCCTGTTCGAATAGATCAGATACTGAATCTAGACTCAGTCCTCGAGGTCGGTGCTCTTTATCACACAAAGGCGCCTCGGTTTAAGTGTCACGGCATCTAATACATCTCCCCTCTCTTCCAACGGAGTGGCAGTTCTTTGAGTTTGACTTAGGCCCGACCCGGAGTTGGCTGCGCGCTTGTCGTCCCGCCCAATCCCAAACTGAAATGGTCTTCAATTCGTCCTGGCGCCGCCTGCTTTCCACGCCCGCATTATGGGATGACAGAACAGTCTAGTGCGCTACTAGGTTATTCGGTAAATTAATAGTGGCCGGGCTGTTGACAGATTCGCCTCTTGTCAGCCGGGCTTCGCCCCAAACCGATTTGGGATGATGGAGGCTTGGCGTACTTGGAGCTGCAGTGGTTGCATCACTATGATTTTGGTGTATGCTGAGATGCAGCATTCGTCTTCCACTCTCGCATCCTTGTGATGGCCATGTGCAGCACGATTACGTGCAGAGAGACAGGCCGAGAGCAACGGCCAAATGCTGACCATCCATCCCACGGGCGTTGACTGTTGTCCTTGCAGGTCGTCTCTTACTAATCTTTACCAACCCTGGGAAGATCGACCCTTTGGGTTTGGGGTTGAGCCATGCAGTGTGATCTACGCGGATACTCATCGATGATCTTTTCGGCCGACAAACTGCCACGCCCTGGCTTTTGTATGTCCCCCCACTGGCCTGATCGCAGGCTGATCAAGCACCCTGCCCTCATTGATCGAGGCCACCAATGAGGTAGGTCCCTTTGACCGGCGTGGCACCATCCGCGACTTTGGGGGTAAGACTCAAATTTGAAAGACGAGATCTTATCGTATCCCAGAAATAACCGGCCGCCGGGTTGGTGGGAAAAAGAAGCCAACGTCGTCAGCCTTATTAGCCACCATCTATACCAACGACTTTGGAGTTGGCATTCTGGTGGAGCAAGTGAAGCGATGGCCTGACTGCTGTGAACCGTCGAAGCTCCCTCATAATCGATCCCCTGTTCCAGGAGAAATTCCAAGATGTAGAGGGAGGTATTGGGTGGATGCGGGATTGCCGTCGCTGCCGTCACAACTCGTGAGTCTGGTGTGCGAACAATCTGCCTCCAACAGCCAGCTTGATCGGATTGATGATCGCTAATGCAAAGATAGTCACTCATGGACAAAAAGACATTCAAACACGGGTGGCTTCTATGTTACTAGTTCGTCACCCATGTGAATGCAAAGAGCGGTTCGACAAGAGATTGAGCGTCGCGTAGATGCTGTCCCACCACCAGCTTGAGTCGCTTCGACTGCTATGCGAAACCAGCAGACAATGGGAGTCTCGGGTGTTTAAACCCAAACAGTTGCTCCAAGTCCACGGGAGCCATCTCCATCCGTCGACTATCAAGCCTCCGTCCACGGCACCGGCTATGAACGGCGCGAAAAGTGGAGACGGGAGGCCGAAGGTCCAGAGGCCGGAATCGCTACGAGCAGCCCCACCGTTCTCGGCGGCCCTCCGGGGTTTTCGGGGGTTAGACCTCCGTGTCCGGGCTCGCCGGAAAACTCGTGACCAAAAGCATGCCCTCTTCGTCCAAACCTTATCTAGCCGGCTTTGTGGATTTTCCTTCTCCGGCGCACGCTCATTCGACAAAAAGCAGCCGCTCGGCGCGCACGTATATCCGTACTGACAAGGATTCCGAAAATGAAGCTTGACAAACTCACCCGCCCCATCGTCTCTTCTTCCCCCTCGCACGTGGGCTGTCCATGGTCTACGTCGTTGGTGAGTGGGATTCCAGGTCCGAGCATAATGGGGGGGGACGTTTCATCGAGAGTGGTGACGAGCGATGCCTTGCCTTCAGCATCCAATCAGACGGCGTCAATACTGTTCGTTCCAAGCCAGCCGAGATCTCTGCCCTAGCAACTAAGATTGTGCAGTGGAGTTATGTTCCACAGCGGTGGGAGGGGTTCTCCCCTGCGAGCCTATGGCAGGCCGGGTTGGATAAGAAGCTGTAACCAGGCCGTGATGATATGCAACTTCATTGCTATAATGATCGGACAAGAATTTCACCAGCAGAGTACAATATGTGGATAGCATCAGTTACCAGGGCCCCAAATGTACAATAGTGGACACTATCCCTGCGCCAACGCCTGTTCGAATGCGACATTTGCTTGAGGCTCGTTCTGATGGCGTGCCACCGCCCTCCCCCCCCCCGCAGTCTCATGAGGTGTACTCGGACCTTTTCTCGTCCGATTCGGTTCCTTACGTCCTACATCTACGACATTCAAGCGCGCAGCCGGACTTCTTGTCTCTTCTCCCTCAAAGGGCCAAGCATGCATACAATGCGACAGACCACAGAATCGACCATGCAGGACCCGGCGGTGCAGAAGAAGACGCTCGACTCTGACGCGCCGGCGCCGAAGTCCGACATCGAAGACAGCTCCGTCAGCTCGCTCAAGGACATCTTGGCAAACGAGGGCGAGGACCCCGTGCTGGCGAGGAAAATGCGCCTCGTCAATGACGTATGAAATACACACACGCACACATACACACATATATCTGCAAGAGAAAACCACTCTAGGAGCCGTTGCCTTCACAGCCCAAAACCCCGGGGACGGTAGATCGCATCTCCTCTCACGTGTGGCTCAATTGACCGCGAAGAACGGGACTGACTTATCAAAAGGCCAACGACCAGATCGGCTGGACGCCGTTCCACTGGAAGCTCTTCGTCCTCAACGGCTTCGGCTACGCCGTCGACTCCTTGATCGCCCTCGTCCAGTCCGTCACCAACACGGGCGCGTTCCTCGAGCTGGCGACGTCGTCGACCTACCGGAACGCCGGCACCGTCGCGCTGTACGTGGGACTGCTGATCGGCGCCATCTTCTGGGGCTTCGGCGCGGACATCGTCGGGCGGAGGATCGCGTTCAACGTCACGCTGCTCATTACCTCGCTCGCGACGATCGTGTCGGGCGCCAGCCCCAACCTGCCGGCCTGGGCCTTCTTCGTCGCGCTCGGGGGCTTCGGCGCCGGCGGCAACCTGGTCCTTGACCCGACCGTCTTCCTCGAGTTCCTGCCCAGCAACAAGCAGTGGGCGGTGACGGCCCTCGCGCTCTGGTGGGGGTTCGGACAGGCATTGACAGGCTTCATTGCCTGGGGGTTCTTGAGTATGTTACACACCGTGGTCAGCGACCGCTTGTTCGGCCGGGGTAGCTAACAGTGGACTCGAAGCTCAGAACCGATGGAACTGTACGGAGGGGCAGAGCTGCAACTGGTCCAACAACCCCGGTTGGCGATACGTCTCGTTCACGGCTGGCGCCTTGGTCTTTCTCACCTCCGTCTTGCGAGTGACCGTCATACGCTTGAAGGAGACCCCCAAGTATCTCCTTAGCGTGGGCCGAGACGCGGACCTCGTGCGCAATTACCAGCAAATGGCCCAAAAGTACGGAAGAGAGTGCTCGCTCACGGAAGAGAAGCTCGCGGCGTGCGGTAAGTTGAAGAACGCGGGCCAGGACAGGCACACGTCCAAGTTCGTGCTGAACGAGCTCGTCTTCCACGTCAAGGGCCTTTTCGTGACCAGGAAAATGGCTCTCAGCACCACCATGGTGTGGCTGTCGTGGACGTTGATCGGTCTCGCGTACCCCCTCTTTTACGTCTTCCTCCCGTGAGTACAGTGACATGAGCTTCGTGTGAATGACACTGATCTAACCGCCATCAGCTCTTACCTCGAGACTAGAGTCCCCAACAACGTGGAGACGCCGTACGAGACATGGCGAAACTTTACGTTGACCAACATATCTGGAATACCGGGCCCGATCATTGCCGGCTGTTTGGCCAACCTCCCCCATGTCGGCCGGAAATACACAATGGTCATCGGCGCCCTCTTGTCGATGGCGCTCTTCTTTGCGTACACTGCGGTGAAGACAGCTGATCAAAACGTCGGCCTTAGCTGCGCGATTGGTGAGTGGCCTTGCCAAGCCCGGCAGTCGTCGCAGATGCCAGAGCCTAACAATCTGCGAAAACTAGCATGCTGCATCAATATCTACTACGGCACTCTGTACGCGTACACGGTCGAGGTGTTCCCGTCAGCGCACCGTGCCACGGGTAACGGCATTGCAGTCGCCTTCAATCGTCTCATGGGAATCGTCTCCGCCTTCGTGGCTACGTCTGGTAACACATCAACGGCGGTGCCTCTCTATGTGTGTGCGGCACTTTTTGGCCTCATGGCGGGCGTTTCGGCGCTGTTCCCGTTCGAGCCCTACGGGAGGAGAAGTTCCTAGGCTTTGTAGATGCGTCCAGTGGAGCGCAGAGATATACAAGACTGTTTAATCCGTGGCATCTCTTGCCAGCAAATATTCTGGGCAAACCAGGCCGCCTTGCTAGACCGTGATACACCTATCCGGGCTGCTCGTTCATCAATAATATTAATCATTGTTCTTAACCCACTTCCTGCAGCTGCCGCAAGCCATACAACTTATCTCCTGGAGTAGTAATAATATCCTGGGTATCCGCCGCTACGTTTCTCGCTCAATTCCAAATACGGCCTTTGAAAACTACCATGGTTATCGAGCGGCTGCTTTCAAGGGATGATGTTTCAGCTGGTGAATGGACCAAGTAAAGCCCACTCAACTCCGGTTACCTTGGGTCTGCGGTCCAACCTTCTATCGCTGGTGTTATGATGAACAGTTAAAAGCACCATGTGGTGGTATCGAAAGTGGCTGTATTCACCGTAATTTGTGGAAAGGAACAAAACCGACAGGCTCGGACCAGGCCATCTTGGATGTGAATGATGACAATTGTTCTTATTTCACCTTCCTTGATATCGAGAGTATGGTCAGGTTGCGCGAGACACCATGACTCAAGTCAAGAAGGTTTGCTGTAGTCAGCTTGCGGAAATTTCCGGGCATGCACATCATCTTTCATGACACAGTCCAGAAAACAATTTGAACAAAGGAGTTGAAACAATACCTATTTTTATTTGGTCTCTGCAAGACGGCGTCTCTGTCATATGATGACTCTTAGTTGCTGATAGTCGATGGCGGGTTTTTTTGATAGCCAAGCTATAGTTATCCGCAGCGGCACCGGAGCACAAACCACACACACTCACTCATTCCTCCAATGGCGACCATAGATCATGCCCCCTCGTACGTCTGTGTGACTGTTTCCCAGTGATAAGTGCCATGATACGTGCCCTATCAGACAGTGATGCAACCTGCTTCCCGACGGGAGTATCGTCTAACTCGCTCTTTTCAAGTCCTCGACGGGCATCAATGCAACAATTTTGACCACTGAAGGTCCTCATAAAGTTCGTCTGGAATGAGATTCTGCATTCGCAAGGGCGGGATTGGGGCATCTCGTCCTGCGTTGGGCCGTAAAATAACGCATGTGATGGTAATATGGTTAAAAATACGGTTACTATTTTTGCGCCAAGTGACTAAGTAGGTTTGCATCCCAGTCTGTCATCAAGTGGGGAGATAAGCAATTAAAGTAGTAGTAGTCAAGGCAACCCGAACCAGGCACGCGGAGTCGCGCAAGGTTCGTCTCCTCTCTTAAGCCCATCACCCCTACATCCGGCACTTATTCTCGTAAACTCTGCTGAGGTCCGCGGTAAGCCCCATTCTCCATCGGATCACACTAGGTGACTACGGCGTCATGCCGTTAGCATGATTTGCCGCGTCGCCTCCCAGGGGATTGTTTCATCTTCCTCCGCCAGCTAATCACAGCCGAGCATACTCCCGCAATGGCAAAATGGTGTCGAGTCGGTTAGATCAGCAAGGCCGATGAGGTTCAAACTAAAACCTCGTCTGATGAAAACCGTAAGCAAGAACAGCCGACGTCAAGCCAGGGCTTGCTTCTGGAAAATCGGCACCGCGGATCGAGCAACTAAGATTACAGTCCTTGGCATGCTGAGTGTCGCGTACCCGTCTGGTTGATTGGGTTAGTTGTCCGATTCGTTCGAACGTGTTAGTCCGAAGATTCCTACTCCACACGTTCAGGACGTACCCAAACCCGCATTCCAACGAGTTAGCGTGACTCTGTCGACATTTACCATCAGTGACACAGAAACACACATTAGTCAACAACTCTGATGGATCTGCTGTTCTTTGCAGTGAGAATTCCGCGTGGTTTCAACCGCTTCCATGATGGGAGCAGACCTCGTCTTGCCGGTTCAACGCTGATGTCCCTTCGCCGCGACAACTTTGCAAAATATTTGGCCAAAATGAGACGTTGGGCATCTCTTGCAAAGAAAAGTGCTGTTTCGGAAATCTGCCAACGATAACGACAACTTTGGATAAGCTTCTTCACATCTGAATCCATGTTACACGGCCTTTGGGCTTGTATCCGGAAACCTCCAAACGGTAGTTTAACCGAATTGGTGGTGTGGTCCCACGTGTTGCGTGGTGAACACATGCTTGTTCCTCGCCACCCTTCCCTACGCCTTCTCTCAAGTGCGAGATCTTTCTCCTCGACTAGTAGTAACACCTCCTGTCCAAACTTTCTGCTGAAGTCAATGAAGTGCGCGGCAAGATGATGACTCACCTCTCATAGATCTCGGGGACTCACATGAACTATGGTAAACGATGATCTCGTATGTTCGGGGCCATTGAGATCGTGTATAGTCGGCCTCACAGAAACTACCAGAATAGATTGTAGATACATCACTATAAGTAGGCTGCCAAGTCCCTTCTTCTGCAACTATCAGCTCCTCACCAACGCCTCAGACATCGAATACCAAGGAAACATACTCAACACAAGCATACCAAGCTTTTCAAAATGATCGTCCCGCGTTTCGATACCATCTTCACCGTTGGCGCTGCCATCTCCGCCAGCGTTGCCTTGGCTGCTCCCGCGGTTCAGCCTGCTCTCGATGCCCGAGACTTGGCCGAGGTTAGTGATTTCAGGATCAGTATCATACTGTGAAAAACGATCAGGGCTAACTTTGAACTATGACAGAACGAAGCCTTTCTCGCTGAGGACTTCACCGCCTTCATCGTATGTTTTCAACCGCGCATTTTAGAAGTATTAACCCAGACGGCTAACATTCAATCTATAGAACCGGCGTGACGATGCTGACGATGATTGGCGCCGCCGCCGACGTCGTTTCGGCGACGTAGAGGGCGACGACGGCAAGAAGAAGAAGGAAGACTTCGCCGTATGTCCAAACTAGGACCCAAAAGTGACATCTGGGATGACTAACATTGCATTCACAGGGACTTGACGAGGGTTGGAAACGTGGAGGCAACCCCCAAGACTTCTCCGACTTCATCGTATGTTACAACTACACCTCTCACAAGTAGCAACCAACAAGACTAATAGTGAATCCACAGGAGCGACGCGACGATGCTGACGATGAATGGCGCCGCCGTCGACGCTTTGGCGAGGCCGAAGTTGACGACGGCAAGAAGAAGAAGTCCGACGCTGATGACGGCAAGAAGAAGGAAGCCAGATCTGAGGATGATGGCAAGAAGAAGAAGTCCGACGCTGATGACGGCAAGAAGAAGAAGTCTGAGGCTGATGATGGCAAGAAGAAGAAGGAAGCCAGGTCTGAGGATGATGGCAAGAAGAAGAAGTCTGACGCTGATGACGGCAAGAAGAAGAAGTCCGACGCTGATGACGGCAAGAAGAAGAAGGAAGTGAGATCTGAGGATGATGGCAAGAAGAAGAAGTCCGACGCTGATGACGGCAAGAAGAAGAAGTCCGACGCTGATGACGGCAAGAAGAAGAAGTCCGACGCTGATGACGGCAAGAAGAAGAAGGAAGCCAGATCCGAGGATGACGGCAAGAAGAAGAAGTCTGACGCTGACGACGGCAAGAAGAAGAAGTCTGACGCTGATGATGGCAAGAAGAAGAAGGAAGCCAGGTCTGAGGATGATGGGAAGAAGAAGAAGTCTGACGCTGACGACGGCAAGAAGAAGAAGTCTGAGGCTGATGATGGCAAGAAGAAGAAGGAAGCCAGATCCGAGGATGATGGCAAGAAGAAGAAGTCTGACGCTGACGACGGCAAGAAGAAGAAGTCTGAGGCTGATGATGGCAAGAAGAAGAAGGAAGTGAGATCTGAGGATGATGGCAAGAAGAAGAAGACGGAAGACTTTGCCGTATGCTCCATCCTACAATATCTACTGGAAACATGATAGCTGACTTTGCACTCACAGATGCAGCAAGATAACTCTGACGACGACTGGCGCCGCCGCCGCCGCCGCGAGGGCGAGGATGTCGACTTCACGGCTTTCGTTGTACGTTTTCGGCTAGGCCTCGGAAAGCAATAACCGAAATGGCTAACATTGAATCCACAGGAGCGCCGCGACGAATCCGATGAGTACCGCCGCTACTGCCGCCGCCTCCGTGAGAGCAACAGCAACGACGAATACCGCCGCTACTGCCGCCGTCGCGATGAGGCGGAAACCGACTTTTCAGCTTCTCTTGTAAGTTCCGGATAAGCCCCCAGGATGAACATGAGATAACTCATATTTTAGTCCACAGGAGAGGAGGGACAACTTAGAGGCGCCTACTAAGCTCGTTGCTCGAGCGGGAGGAGGAGGAGGACGCGGGGGAGGAGGTGGAGGCGGTCGTGGTGGAGGCGGAGGTGGCCGTGGTGGAGGTGGAGGCGGCCGAGGCGGTGGCGGCGGCCGTGGCGGAGGCGGCGGCCGTGGCGGAGGCGGCGGCCGTGGCGGAGGCGGAGGCCGTGGCGGAGGTGGCGGTCGTGGCGGAGGCGGCGGTCGTGGAGGAGGCGGCGGTCGTGGAGGAGGCGGCGGTCGTGGTGGAGGCGGCGGCCGTGGTGGAGGCGGCGGCCGTGGTGGAGGCGGCAGCGGTGCAAGAGGGGGAGGTGGTGGACGCGGTGGAGGCGGCGGACGCGGTGGAGGCGGAGGCCGAGGCGGAGGCGGCGGCCGTGGCGGAGGCGGTGGCCGCGGCGGAGGCGGCGGTCGCGGTGGAGGCGGCGGTCGTGGTGGAGGCGGCGGCCGAGGCGGAGGCGGCGGTCGTGGCGGCGGTGGCCGCGGCGGAGTCGGCGGCTATGGTGGCGGTGGCCGAGGTGGCGGTGGCCGAGGTGGAGGCGGCGGCTATGGTGGCGGCGGTCGAGGCGGAGGCGGCGGCTACGGTGGCGGTGGCCGAGGTGGTGGTGGCCGAGGTGGTTACGGAGGCGGTGGCCGAGGTGGCTACGGCGGTGGCGGCCGAGGTGGTTACGGAGGCGGTGGCCGAGGTGGCTACGGCGGTGGCGGCCGAGGTGGTTACGGAGGCGGTGGCCGAGGTGGCTACGGAGGTTACGGCGGTGGCGGCCGAGGTGGCTACGGAGGTTACGGCGGTGGCGGCCGAGGTGGCTACGGAGGTGGCTACGGCGGCGGTGGCCGAGGTGGCTACGGAGGTGGCTACGGCGGCGGTGGCCGAGGTGGCTACGGAGGTTACGGCGGTGGCGGTCGAGGTGGCTACGGAGGCGGCTACGGCGGTGGCGGCCGAGGTGGCTACGGAGGCGGCTATGGCGGCGGCGGCCGTGGTGGTTACGGAGGAGTATGCCCTTACCCAGCCTTCAGATCTAACAATGACCGAGATAGCTAACACTATACCAACAGGGCGGCGGATGGAACAACGGTGGCGGATGGAACAACGGCGGTCGTGGCCGGGGCGGTGGCTGGAACAATGGCGGCGGCTGGAACAACGGCGGCGGCTGGAACAACGGCGGCGGCTGGAATAACGGCGGCGGCTGGAACAACGGCCGCGGCGGCGGCGGTGGGGGAACCGGATGTCCATCAGGCCAAGTTGGCGCCTGGGATTCTTATGGAAACTGGTACTGCTACGTTCCGAATTCGAACTCCTGGTGAAACCCCAATCGACGACGCCGCCGGAGTCTCAACCGCCGGTCTTGAGCAGCAGCAGCAGCAGCAGCAACAGAAGATAGTACGCATTGGAAGACCGAGGGACAGGAGTTTGTGGACACTGGGGATTACCAACTTGGCCTGGCAGGCACTGGCTGTAAGTTGGGATCTGGGTCTCAGATGGACAACTACGGCTGTGCTGGGTTTTCGTCTGGTTTCAGTCATCCTTCAGCCCGGACGATCCAACGGTTCTGTTGGGGGAAAAGACCTCTGGGATGCATATCGGAGCAGGGCCGGGAAAATCCAACATTCTTCCCATGGCCCGCTAGCCAGCGCAATTCAACCTTTGCCGCTTGGCTTCTAGATTGGTAGTTTACTTTTAACGCAGAATGATTAGTCTCAGTCTTGTGCGGAAATTCGAAAAGGTTACGCAACTATCTGGTATCATGACAACTCGGGTTCAGAGATCAAAGGGAATAGCACGATTACTCTGTTCTTTCTTTTACATCTTACTTACATTAGTCTTCTCATATCTTTTTTGGGATGTTGACACTCTTGATTATTCTGCCGTTCTTTTTGTGCTCTTTGATTGATGCCTTGCTTTCTGAGCAACTACGTCTTCCGCGATGTAATTTGGGCTCCCGAAAATCTGTTCAACATTATTGTTTCGCAGTTTCATTTGTATAAAAGATTATTGGCGAATTTATTCGCAACATGCTCGCCAAGTATTGGGTTTCCTTCAAGTCTCGAGATTTATGACTGTCGAGTATATCACCACCTTGGACAATTTCAGGTGTATCATATCTCAATGCGGAAACATAGTACTACTTCAAGTATATATTAACACACCACGTGACGCCGGACGTTTGTACTGGTATTATCAAGTATTTAGAGTAACGGGTCAAGTGACTCGACTCCAGTCTAACTGTCACGTGAGGCGTGATATATACCACTTTCTCACTAGGCCACTTATGGGGATCTAGAGCGACTATATATAACAATATCCCTTATTCGGCCAACTAAGGAAGGAAAAGTAATCACTTGGTCCGCCACCAAATGGAGTCAGGCCATATCCTATATTCACGTTCAGGCATCAATATCTTCTTCAACCCCCCCAAAGATTACGAGAGGCTATAACCGGTCGCATACGGCTACCGAATTCGGATTATCCCGGTAGCAGCACTCGTTCGAGCCCGGACCTTGCTGGCACACGGGCTGGTGATTACCACATGCGTAACAGTCGAGGCCAGTGACACACTGGCCTTTGCCAGGGTTGCAAGGTTCGCCTTTCTCTGCGGCCCACTTTCTCAGCCATGGCTTCTGTTATCGCTCCGAGTCAGAAACTGGGAGTCTTCTTTGAGAGTGGGAGGGGATAAAGGGGGCCGCCGAGAACTCACGGTACTATCTTCGACCCAGGATGTGTGGTACTCAGGCCTCATATCTGGGTCCGCCATGACAATGTTCGCATCGGCCACTGGCGCTGCAAGAACGTTTGTCATCGTCGCCAGCAAGAGCAAGGTCGTTCGTGTCGGCTTCATCATACGTCGGTATTGGGTAAGATACCCGGTAGTGGTATTTAATTTGAGGGCGGTGAGATCGATATTGATGTCTGAGCCAAAGACTGTAAGCATCGAACTCCGAGCCTTCATCTATCGCAGCCATCCGAGCCCGGAAATGGAAGACGATAGAGGTTTATAAACAGACTGGCGCTCAAGCCCTGAGAATCATTGCGTCCATCCCCAGGTCACAGCGTGCATCATCTGAACAACCCTCCCGGGGTTTTCGGTCTGCCAGTCGTTCCAGTGAAGCAACGTTAACATGTCATCCAAAGCGTTTGTACTTGAGGCTAATTCACCGTTTTTATTACAGTGGCGGCGGTATCTGTCTTGATATGTTCAAGTAGCAGCATTGAGGTGTTTACTGTCTATAATAGGGAAGAATATATTTGTCCTCACTACTGTAGAAAAGGCCATAGCATTTCGTAACTCAGCTATGCAACCGGCCGTGGAATAAGTGTCCATGACATTATGAGAAGGCAAGAAACCTGAGAGCAAGCTCGAATGCGCTTGATCACGTTCCACGCGGGCCTTCCGACACCGTTTAAATGTTACTCAACTTGCGATGCCCATCGGCCGGGCCCAACTCATGTCTTTCGCTGAGAGACAAATATGAAACAACGAAGTCGCCGAAGCTAAAAACCTTAAATCGACGGATGAACGGCATGCTTGGGTCCGTATTTGCGCGGATCAACAGGGCTAGGATGCATCGTGTTCTCTGCGGACACTCTGACAGTCTTGCGTCGGCGTTCAATATATCAGATGAGTCGCACTTCAGTCGAAAATAGAGGCTCGGCTCTCTCCCCGTACTGCCTCAGTCGATCTGGCCGATGCGGTCATAGCCATGACGCTCGGCCGAATGCATGTGGGACCGCGTGGTATGAGGGCTAGAATGGCAGATCTGTAACGGTGATGCCAAGAGGTTGCGGCTTAGGGCCTGCTTCCGCCTCTCGGCGGACCATCCGTCTTCCTGTCACTGGTTCCTCAAAGTGCCCTCCCAACATATCTTCGCTTTCTCTGTCGTCTGTTGATAGGATCACGTGGTTCAACGTCTGGTAGGCCGATCAAGCGGGGCCAGTAAGGGTAAAGAGGATCCTCTTGCATCGGAGGTATTCTGTCGTACTCGAACGGAGCCGCCTCCAGAGAGTCCAGGGGGCCGGTGTCCGGCATTGGGGGGTTCTGGAACCATCTGAACGAGATTTGGAACTTGGGCACCTTTCCGAACTGATGGAGTGGCAGGAGCCATTCATCGTGGGGCATGGGATACCGAGGATAGTTTGGATATGCCCAGATGCGAAGCTCTTTCAATCGAGGAATGGCGAGAGACAATTCTGTCCACAGCTCGTCCCACCTGGCTCTCTCCGCGACAGCCTCCTCGGCGTCCAGGGCCATGTACGTCTCTATCGGGGCTCGCCACACCAGGTAGAGCTTACTGACCCGGGCGAGAGACTCGGATGCTGTGGTTTTTATGAAGCGTGAAAGCGCACCTGTGCCGACGAAGGAGAAGGTTGTGGACTCGTAGAGGGAATCGACTGCCTCGCCGTGCATCCGCTTGCAGGTGAGAAGGATTGCCAGGAACGGGCTGAACTCTTTGACGAGAACCCGACGGCGGCGGCGACGGTTCTTGCCGCTCTCTGAGGAGGTCTGTTCCTCGTCGGCCCCCTCTCTTGACACGGAGTTGTCATCAATTGCGCGTAGAATTGGCGGCTCTTCTTCGCATTGCCAGTGGTTGCACCAGTTCGAAGCGAGGCGAAACCGCCATTCTGTGATGGCATCTCTTTCGTCCGTCGACTCCGGTGCCACACCACCTCCGAGCGTCGCCGGGTCGGCCGGCGGCGTATTTACCACGCGGCTAAGTTCCGTCTCGCGGATGTCCTCGGCATCCAGGTCGGCGATACATTGACAATGAGAGAGGGGCGCCAAAAGAGATGCGCCAGCTTTGTACACATGCTGAGTTGGCCCAGCGGCCAGCCAGAGATAGCTATAGATGCTCTGGCGGATTTCAAGGGGGAAGGCGGAAAAGAAGCTTGACTGTAGCTGCGAGTCAAGCGTGCTAGCGCGGGAACTAGGCTCGTCGATGGCAGTCAGCTGCGCTTCCACGTCGGTCCTTTGGTATTCATTATTATGGGCATCCCGTGTCTCTCCCATCATTGCCGGAGTGCCGTGCGCGAAATGGGTGGCAGATGACGAAATCAAAATGAGACGGGGATGAGGGGGGTTAAGGGGCAACGATGAGAGTGCCACCAATGTTCTTGGAGGAGATGAATAACTGTGTAGAATCCATGCTGTCCAACATGACACAATAAACCGCATATTCACTTCCCCTCCTGTTGGTTCCGCGTCACCTCACCTCCCCCAAACAGGCTTAACGCAGCTTACAGGGATTCATCTGACTGATGAGACCACTGCTCCTGAATCAGACTGACGTTTCTCCTCCTCCTCCTCCTCCTCCATTGCAACCAACACAGCAAGAGCCCAAACTAGCCCGGCTCTGCATCCCGTGATGAGTCCGTTGCCAAAGATGCAGGTCAGCCGTGCCAACAAGGTTTTCCATCAATATAGTACACAAGAGCGCAATACAACCCATTACGTACCCTCATGCTGGTTGGTGGGGTTTACCAATCTAAGCTGGTTGATTGGTCAATGCGACGATCCTTGTTCTCATTGTCTTACCCCAGAGATTCATGATCCAGGGTAGAGGTTGAGGCGGCTCTTTGATCTGTGCTTATCTCTCCTTGACCGCCCCGTGCCAGACTCAAACACGCAAAGTTTAATCCGTGATTGTCCCTCAAAGAGATAAGACTCCAAGCAACTTCCCAAAAAGCACACCCTCATCCCCCCTCTCCCCGTGAGATAAGCTACTCCCGTTTGTCTTTCAGCTGGCCGGCATTGCTCGTTCCAGCGGCAGCCATGAGCATGAGCCGTATTTCGATCCAGCGGCTGGCCCAGCTCCGTCGGGCATCATCGGCTTGGTGCGCTTCAACGCGGCTTGTCGGCCCAAGACACCACTCGACCATCTCGGGGACTCGGCCGACGAGTCGGGATGGCATCCGACGCACGAGGACGGCAGCTCTCGCGGGTCTGCAGTCGCGGAGACTGTTCGGCAGCACAGCGCAGAGACGTAACGAGGCCGAAGATGAGGAGGACACGGGGAGCTACAGCGAGGCCGACCACGAGCATGCCGTCATCTCGACCTTTGACCTGTTCTCCATCGGCATCGGCCCGTCGTCGTCTCATACCGTCGGGCCCATGCGCGCCGGCAACATCTTTGTCGCTGACCTGGCCGAAGCGAACCTGCTGCACAAGGTCAACAAGATCCGGGTCTCCATCTACGGCAGCCTGGCGTTGACGGGCGAGGGCCACATGACGCCCTCGGCCCTGCTGCTCGGCCTCGAGAGCGCCGACGTGGAGACGGTCGACACTGCCTACGTGCCCGAGAGGTTCGCCGAGATCAAGAAGACGAAGAAGCTGTTCCTGGGCCAGGGGCTGCGCGGCGGCAAGGCTAAGGAGGTTGCGTTCGACTACGAGCGCGACTTCGTCTGGGAATGGGGCCGGAAGCTGCCGATGCACAGCAACGGCATGCGCTTCACCGTCTTTGACGAAGAGGGCTACGTGCTGGCGACCAATGACATGTTCAGCGTCGGCGGCGGCTTCGTTGTGAACGGCGCCCTGTCCATCAACCCTGATGCGACGCCGTCGTCTTCTTCCTCGGCGACTCAATTGGAGTCGCCGGATGGATCGGCGGAGAGCAGCACCGGGAAGCACCCGGCCGATCTGGCCGAGAACATGTTCTACAAAGAGATCAGGCGATCCGATGCGGCTGGTGACCGTCGGACCGGTGCCGAGGTCAAGCCTCTTGAGGAGGCAAAAGACGACACGATGCTGCTCGAGGGGGCAAGGGACGGCCTCCCCGCCGTGGCATCGACGTCAGCCGGCACCGGTATAGCTGACGCAGAGAGCGGCGAAGCGTCGGAAAGCGAGACTTCGGGTCCCCGCTACCCCTTCAGAGATGCGACGAGCCTGCTGGCGCTATGCCGCAAGCACAACCTCACCATTGCTCAGCTCGTGTACGAGAACGAAAAGAGCCACGGATACACGGACGAGGAGATCTACCACAAGCTCTTCAAGATCTGGCAAGTCATGGACACCAGCATCCTGGAGAGCGTGCAGGCGCCGCTGGACGCGAAGCTCCCGGGCTCGCTCAAGCTTCACCGGCGCGCCCCGGCGCTGTACCGGAGGCTGACCCGAGGGTTGTACTCCACGGCCGGCCACACCTCCCCGAATCCTCTCGACAACGGAGCTGGCGACAAGGCCTCTTCTTCTTCTTTGCCGGGCGCATCATCCGGGGCGTCGGTCCCCGCGGCGCGGAGCAAGGCTAAGGGCCAGGGCCTCAGCATCGGCCGCCGCCAACCGCCTCGCATCATCGGCTCGCTCGACCATCCCATCACGCCCTCCCCCGCGCGCCGCACCACCTTCCCGACGATGGACTACCTGACGGTCTACGCCATCGCGGTCAACGAGACGAACGCGGCCGGCGGGCGCATCGTGACGGCCCCGACCAACGGCGCGGCCGGCATCATCCCCGCCGTGCTCAAGTACACCATCGAGTTCATCAGCGACGACCCGGAGCGCGACATCCCGACCTTTCTGCTCACCGCTGCCGCCATCGGCATGCTGTACAAGCGCGGCGCCACCATCTCCGCCGCCGAGGGCGGGTGCATGGCCGAGGTGGGCGTCGCCTGCTCCATGGCCGCCGGCGCCTTCGCGGCCTGCATGGGCGCCAGCCCCGAGGCCATCGAGCAGGCGGCCGAGATCGGCATCGAGCACAACCTGGGCCTGACGTGCGACCCGATCGGCGGCCTCGTGCAGGCGCCCTGCATCGAGCGGAACGCGCTGGGCGCCATCAAGGCCATCTCGAGCGCCAATCTCGCCCTGAGCAGCGAGACGGGCACGCAGAAGGTCAGGCTGGATGACGCCATCCGGGCCATGCGCCTGACGGCCAAGGGGATGAGGAACGAGTTCAAGGAGACCAGCTTGAGCGGACTGGCGACGAGCGTGCCTTTCAATATTCCTGTTAGTGTTCCCGACTGCTGAGCACCGTTTCCCTCCGGTTTTTTTTTTGGTTTTTTTTTTTTGGGGGGGGGGGGGGGGGTTCTTGTTTTTGTTTTATGTCCCGAGTTTGGCTGGGTTTTCGGATTCAAAAAAGGACTTCAGAATACAGTTTAGATTGATTGGTCCTTGGTCGCTAGACGGATATTACCAGCATGAGGAATCGCAACACTGTTTCTCTGGTTGTGACGAGTTTTTGTCTCTGCTGGAAATGCACGAGAGGGCATTTTTCTAGATTCAACAGAAATGAGCTAGATAGAAGGGAACATGTATCTGCCTTAACGACGACTGTCTTTTAGCGATGCAGGCACATGGACATGTCGTATTATTCTATCCGGGCCTTGCTCCCTTCTGCGAGTGGGAGACGGTGTTGCTCTTTTGCTAGATGAGACATGCTCGTTACGTCGTGACAACACAAATCGTTAAGTGCTGCTATGAGATGGGTTTCAGCGATATCATTCCAAACTAACAGCTGTATACACCTCGCCCAGTTGTCATATCATCTTGTTAGTACAATATATTGGCTCTTCCTCCCATGTCAAACGAAACCAGTCACTAAATTGCCCCTACATAAAAAATTCAGTTGTATAATGTCAGAAGTATTCATACGCAGGCTTCAGCCACGGGCGCTGATACATCTTTCTGTTCTGCCAGCTCGTGTTACGTGAGAGGAACAAGTCGAATTTTGTGCAAACCAAATATTAAATACATAATCTATACGTCTCCGCTTGAAATGTAAACCGCTTTGCTGGCATGAGAAAGAGAAATAAGAAAGAGGAAAATTCGCCGGGCGTATCTTTCATCACACCGATTGTGGCCAGGCGGTGGGCGCGTGCCACTGTCCTCGGATACAGCCCTTCGGCTTCTCCCGCTCAGACACATCTCGGAGGGCGCGGGAGGGAGGCGGGGATCACACCCGGACGGCGCCGGGCGGACCACGCGGTCCAGGCCCTTGGACGAGTGGCAACTCGTCTTAGATCTTGCCCGAGTCCTGGGCCGTGAGCGTGTAGCCGTAGCTCTGCGAGACTGAGTAGTAGTCGCTGCCCCTCCATTGTCCGTAGTTGGTGCTGTAGCTCTTGTCCCAAGGCTTGGTGTACATGGAGCAGTAGGTTCCCTGGGGGACGTTGTTCTCGCTGAGGACGTAGGCGTTGAAGAAGTTGCAGGCGTCGTAGGTGCCGTCGGCGTTCGGGTGGTCGTGGTCGTACTGGGTGGTTGCCAGGCAAGCGCTGGCACACTGGCTGGGGTCATAGGGGCCGGGGTAGTACTTGGAGCCCATGTATGAGTTGGGGGCCTGGGTGGCGCCACCGAAAGCAATCGGACCGTCGAAGCCGGGGCTCGGGGGCGGGGGTGCGTTCTTGTTGTAGCCTTTGGGCGTGTTAGTAGCCATCGCCGGCATGAGGATGCGAGGGGGTCGGAAAGATGGGACATACCGTTGGATCCAGTGATGCCGACTTGGAACTGGTATCTCCACTGGCCCTGGTTCGTGGCAGCGTCCCCCCCGGACAGCTGGGCACCCCAGAGCGTGCACTTGTAGTTGGTCATGCTCGCCGGGTCGACGCAGGTGTCACTCGGGGTGAACTTGGGGTCTCTCTCAATGAACAGGTTGAAGCTGTAGCATGCAGGAGCGGCGTCGCAGTACTGGTCCAGTGTTAGCCGTGGTCTTTCTCTCTTGGCAGGGCTGAGGCATATACCTGTTGGCACTGGATGGGGTCGTACGTCCGCAGGGTGTAGAGACCCTGGTATGACGGGCCAGAGACGGAGGCTTGCAGTCCGTTGAAGGCCGAGCTATATCCCTGAGGAACCACCGCTGCGCTGGCAACGTTGCTGAGCTCAGCCGACGACATGAAGGAACTGTAGGTGTCGGGCGAGGGCACAGGACCATAGCCGTCGGGCTCTTGGTTGGAGCCGGTGCAGGTCGAATCGCGAGCCTTCACGCTCGGCTTTGCAGCTGCGACGGGGTTCTCAACCGCGTCTTGGGCGGCAGCGGCTTGTGCCTGTGCCGCGTTGTAGGTTGGCTTCTCGGAGGTGGCACCGACGGCCGGGCCGACCTTGGTCGGCTTGGTCTCAGCCTGCGAGTCGTGTCAGTTCATCAAGTGTTCAAGAAGCCGGCACGAGAGACCACTCACATCGAAGACGCTCAGGTCAATGCCGCCCTGAGGTGTTGTGCTACGAGGAGTAACCGGGTTGGCGGTGGTAAAGCCGGCGACGGCCGCAAGAATGAGAGCGGAACGCATGTTGAAGGTTAAAGATGGGAGACGAATAGTCAATATGGTGGAGCTGATGATGATGATGAGTGGGATGATGATCAAAGACCAGCTCTATAAGAAAGAGGGCAATGAGAAGACTTTATATCTTGATCCAGTCGAACGATCATCACCTCGTATCATGCCCTCACTTGGGGAGTATTAGCCCGTACTCGATTTGAGCGCCCCGCCGAGCATCTCACAAAGCAAAGCCGGGCAAAAAGCCTATCCGGTTCATCGAGTGGGCTCGGGATCCCCATCGCCTGATGAGAGAGGCGGCTCACGGGTTGGCGTCAACTAGACCGCGCCCCTTTGTCGGTGCGGGAAGCATTGGCTGCCATGGGGGCACGCCTTCAGCTCCAAGTAAACAAGCCTCTTTGTGCTAACACTTGTTTTCCTCGCGCGCCCGCGTCTCCCTCCATTATTAAGCGCCGTCAAAAGAGCCAGCCCAGTCGTTTTCTCCGTTATATTCTTCCTTGTCATTGCAAAAACTCAAGGACCCGGGGTTACCGCTCAAAGAGCAGACGTGCCGAGAGACGATACGCGATGATACGGAGCGGCTGATCGACCGCATACAGATAGAAATGGGGTTCTGCTCCCTTGCATTGATCCATGCGAGGAACCAAGCGAATGGACTCCAACATAGGTAAAGATGACCCCAAGCACGCTGTCTTAGACATATCAACAGGGCAGCACAGTCCCAAAGTCCTGGGACCGTCCCAAGCAGTCGGGATTCCCAGCATGCCGACCTCTCGAACTCAGACTCACGCTCGTGCCCAACGTCGCCATGTGCCGAACCTGTTCATCCCACGTGGCTCAGCTCATCTCTCTCGCTCAGACTCGTACCCGCAAATTCTCTGGTGTTAATTGATTAGTGGGAGCTTAGCCTTGAGATGATTCAGGGGGTACGTTGCAAGGGACACCTTGAGGGACTCTTCCCGACTCGCGTCAATACTTTCCGGCCATCAGAGGAGATGAGGATAAGGCTAGGGAGGAAGAAAAGCTCGTACCCGCACGCGATTGATCCCCTCCCGATTTAGTGCGGCGCGCAGCGCAAGCCTCGATCAAGTAAGACGGCGCACGAACATCCATGACGCGGATAATTTACAACTAGCCTTTTCCCTAAATGGACTCTCGGAGGAGGCCACTTTGATGATTAACACTACATATCAGCCTGCCGGCAAGGGTTATTTTACACTACGCAGTAGTCCAACCTCGTCCTCCAGGATCGGACCCCCTCGGGGAGCTGTAGGTATCCCCCTGACCCCTGGCATAATACCCGAGCGTGTCGTCTTCCGAATAAGGAAAACTATCGATCCCAATAGACCTGTGAGACGCGTCTCGCTTCCGTACTTGCAGCCAATCGGCATTTGCTCTCGGATTCAGCTGTGCGCTGGCATACGAAGCGGTCCTGAATACACCCGTCGTCGCCAAAAACCACGCGCGCACTGAGTTTCTCTCCGTCTGCAAGGTTCAGGGAAGCCGTCCGCGTGGAGACGTCCATCAGCCGCACCTGGGACAGACGCCGGGATTGAATCGGAAGTCGGCGCTAGCTCGAGACAGTGAGAGTGTCAGGCCACGTCCGGCCATCGTCCCACGTGTTGTCCTTCGACTTGCTACATCTAACAAAACAATAGTTGTTGTGCGTCGGTGCCGGTAGCTCCGGCAGCTTTCAGCTGCTAGGTTGCTGCTATACGTGGCAGGCGAGGGTGGTGAGCTGAACCTCGCCTCACCGGTTTGATAGGCCTCGTCGCGTTTGGATGCCGCATCGTCCGGCACGCTTTGTTGTTGCCGACGCAGCCGTCGCGTTTGTTAATAGAATATATGACATTCTTGAGGATGTGGTCAGTTGGAGTCCAATTTGAGGCGGAGCCACCGCTGCCAAGCTTGATGTTCTGGTCATCGGCATCGTGCTTGGAGCCATAATCTAGCGGAGGGGGCCGTTCTCAACGACGATAAAGTCTATCATACAATCTAACTATCCCATTCGTGAGGAAGCCAAAATGTGTGGGGATATGTTGGCCAACGTGGCCGGATGAGCGGCGTCTCATCGACTACCTCTCAGTGTAGTGCAGCCCAAAATCTCATGAACATGGTCATTAGGAGCTGTTTTGATGATACCTGCTCGGTAATCACTTAGGTCATACATTCGATAAGTCATGCCGCAATCTGTGGTCAGTGTAGAAACCATTCCTACATACTCTAAACCGCTGTCACCGTTACTCACACAGCCAGTCATTCGCTAGGGATTCTCCCATTTCCAGCAACGCAATGGAGTGTTCGGTCTAGATGGTAAGTCATGTTCATGCCTATATAGGTAAATAACGGTCTGATCCTTTACGAGGGGTAAGTAAGAAATCTGGGGGGTTGCATCAAGGATTTTACCAATATCCTAGATATTGCAACCACAGTATTGCAAGCAGGAGCTCACGTCGGGAAGTCATAAGCTTTCAAAGATAGCGAACTGATTGCCAGAAAGGCCGGCTGCCATAGCAAAATATATTGGAATACTCGCGACGTTTCTAGGCATCGCCAGACCGACCGTTATGGTTAATCTCAATGTATATTCTGCTAGGCGTCTGTTCGAAAGAAAACACCCGAAAAGAGCCGAAGAGCATATGCAGTGGTACAATCCCGCCTGTGATGCATCACGCATTTTGCGGTTGAAGACCAGTACAGGCGGGCTTTCTCTTCACCGGATGTCCAACAGAGGCAGCCTTCTGATATTGACCTACACAAAAGACCGTGTTCCCGTGGGTTTTCAGTCGTTGGTTGTTGAAAGTCTTGAGCTCGCAATCACGTCCTGCTCAGCGTCGAGGACATTGGTTGTTTTCGGCCGCCAAATCCTCTATCCACGATCCGGGCAACTTGGCCGAGCGGTCTAAGGCGCCAGACTCAAGTGACGAGGTCCCACCTTCCGATCTTCCCCCCACGGCGGGGGTGTATTCTGGTCTCGAAAGAGGCGTGAGTTCGAATCTCACAGTTGTCAAAGGCTATTCTTTTTGCTGCAGGTTTGTGCGGCCGTATCATGATTCCCGGGAGAGAGGATGCCTTCTTTGGTCGGCTTGTGAAGCCCAAAGTTGGACGAATGACAGAGATGTCGTTGGTTGTGTTGATCTTTTAATCCTTTGAAGCCTGGTTTCTGGGCATGGACGGGATCTTAACCTTGTTCACATCTTATCCCTTAGCTGCCGCTGCTCGCCAACTATGCAGTTGCGAGTGAGACTGTTGAGCCAATATGACGACAGCCATGGCGAAGGATGCTGTTGCAAAGTCGATCATTAACCTCGTCTTGAGGAACATGAGATGAGCGCTTCATGATGAACCGGACCATCGACGAAGAGTTCTCCGTCGGACCCGCTTCTCCGGGCTTCTTACCGCCGGGCATGGCTGCCCCCCTTTGCACCTTTAGATTTATGCTAGCTAGCTGACATGACGACAAAGTTCATTCTTATTTGAGTTGTTCAAGGTTGGCAAACTTTCTGTGTTATGTCGTGGTTCGCTGGACCCAAGCACAGGGGTCCCCGAGGTAAGCTTAAAAAGACGCTGGAAGAACAAAAGCCACTCACTAGATAACGATGGAACTTCTCTCGCATTCAACCACCCGAGCTCAACCGGGGAACATACCGCCACCCTTGCAGCGGAACCAGTCACATGGTCGTAGCAGCAGGCATTATTGCATCGACTCGTCCCGGTTTCTCCAGCTATGATTTCCCCGCACTCCGCAACCCCATCGGATCCCACTCTATACCTTGCTCCCTGCTCCTCCCCCTCGTCGAGCATAAGGCCTTCAATGAAGTATTTGCCGCAACGTTGATTGTAGTCGGGTAAGGTCAGCTGCCGATCGTCAAGTCGGACAGCTCTCCGTACCAATATCATGAGGAGGGGGGGGGGGGCAGGCTTCCCCTCGATCCCCGTTGCCAGATTCAAGAGCCCATCAATCTGGCTTGGAAGATCGCCCAGACGGGCTAGATTGCAATCTGCTACCCCTCGCATCTTCACAGCAATGGGCGGTCGGCGAGAGAAGCGTCGGCCTTGGCGTTGGGGATATAAGGGAGTGAGTTGGTATGCAACACAAGTGTTCCCGCCTCCAGGTGGGAAAGCTTTGCAGTCTTTGCTCAGATTTACGATCCGTAATGGCCTTCGCAATAGTAGTCATAGCCGGTCTATTCCTCTTGAGGGTCCAGGCACAGTCTCCGTTAGCGCCCGAGAGGCCTCTGCCCGCCAAGGCGCAGCTTATTGATCAAAAGAGCTTCAATGTCTTGGAGGCTGTGCCGCCCTCTTTCGAGTTCAATGCCACGTCGGTACGCCTTGCGTATACAGCGCTCTTTTGCCCATCTCAATAGGCCCGGAAATACACTAATGCAGAGACAGGAGTTTCTCTGGCCCGGCGTTACTCATGAGTCCCTCGCCCAGAAGCCGTTCCACGTGTATGATGCCGAGTTCTACGACATCATCGGCAGCGACCCGTCGTTGACCCTGATCGCGACTTCGGAAACGGATCCCATCTTCCACGAGGCCGTTGTCTGGTAAGCTCGCGAGGACGATCGGCGGAAAATGCCGCGGGTGACTGAGATGGACAACAGGTACCCTCCCACGGAAGAAGTCTTCTTCGTCCAGAACGCCGGGCCCGTCGCCGCGGGAACGGGCCTCAACAAGTCGTCAATCATCCAGAAGATCTCGCTGGCCGACGCCGAGGCCCTTCGTACCGGGTCCCTCGGTACTCCCGAGGTCGAGGTTGTTACTGTGCCGTCGAACCCCCAAGTTATTAACCCTAACGGTAATACGAAGCCATGAACCAGCCAGCAGTAGCTCTCATGCGCGGAACTTTGCTGATTGGCCTGCAGGCGGAACGAACTACCAAGGCCAGATCATATTCGCAGGTGAGGGCCAGGGTGACCGTGTCCCATCGGCGCTCTACTTGATGAACCCGGTTGAACCGTACAACACAACCAGTGAGTGGCACACCATACTGTCGACGCCTATCGTGGCAGCCTGCAGGCGGCAACTGACCGCTCACGTTTCCAGTCCTGGTCAACAACTACTTTGGCCGCCAGTTCAACTCGCTCAACGACGTCGTCGTCAGCCGCCGTAATGGAGACATCTACTTCACCGACACGCAGTACGGGTACTGGCAGGACTTCCGGCCGGAGCCGGGTGTGCGGAACCAGGTCTACCGCCTGAACCCCAAGACTGGCGCGTTGACCGTGGTTTCTGACGATCTCGTTTCGCCCAACGGTGAGTTACCGACGACCCATGTACCGCCTCGTAGAAGGAAGAGACCGTGGGGCGCACCGTCGCTAAAACCCCATCTCTCCATCCAGGAATCACCTTCTCTCCCGACGGCGCGCACGCCTATGTGACCGACACGGGACTTGGTCGTGGTCGCTTGGGGTATATTTTCACCAACCCCTCCACAATGTAAGGTGTTCTCCTTGTCTGAGGCTTTACCGTTTCTTCTCGGCTTACATGTATGATGCGCTGTAGCTACCGTTTCGACGTGAAGGAAGATGGTACTTGGGAGAACCGCAAGACGTTCGCCCACGCCCACTCGGGTCTGCCAGACGGTGAGAGAGCCTCGCCGCAGATTAGTAGAGGGCGGACACTGACCCAACTACTTGTTAAATAGGTGTTCATACCGATACGAAGGGAAACGTGTACGCGGGTTGCTTTGATGGCGTCCATGTCTGGAACCCATCTGGTAAGCTCATCGGCAAGATTTACACCGGCGCTGTTGCCGCCAACTTCCAGTTCGCTGGTGATGGGCGTATGGTCATCACCGGACAGACCAAGCTGTTCTATGCCACTTTTGCGGCTTCCGGGGTTGCATTGACATAGCATTATACACAGGCCCATCGTTTGAAGCTTTGCTCAAGACCGATACCGGAGGACCAGTACTGCCTTAATTCAGCCTAGTCAGACTCATGCTAAGGCAGAAGAAAACATTTTAATAGAAAACACATGTTCATATTCATCTGCAGTATATGATCGAGACTCGGCCATCAGGAAAGAACCCTAGGTTGAGATAGAAGATCACAGGAAGCTCGGTGACCAGCCGGCGGACGGGTATCCGATGACACGCCGCAGGAGAATGGCTGCATGGATAGCCCGTCAATTATGTGGGGCATCCATCAGTTTGGACCAATAGAATGCCTCTATTCTGGATGACGTAGACAGGCCATGCACCCCCACCAAGCCACCCATCTGTACCTAGGTACTTCGTAATACTCCGTACTCCGTATTTTATACCTTAACAAAAAGCAAAGTACGCGGCCGTCAAGCATTACGGACTCACGATTTCCAACTAACTCAAGCCCGACCGACGACGACCACCCGCTGCAAGAAATATCGCTAAATGTCAGGTTCACAGCCACCGGCGTGGTCATCGCGCGCCGATCACCTCCTGCAGCCTGTCCAGCGGCCGGTCGGGTACCTGAAGCGCGCCGGCATCGCGGCGTGGTATCCCCTCCTCGGCATCTGGTACTTCCTGCGGAACAAGGACTTCTACCCTCTGTTCCTAGGCCGCCTGCTGCCCCTCTCCGTCATCTCCTTTCTCGTCTACTTTGTCCTGTTTACCTTTGCGTTTCTGCCCCAGTTCGCCCTCCTGGCCATCTTCCACGGATGGGGAGCTTGGGTCAATGCGGTGGTGCTGGTCCTCGGAGAGGGACTCGTGGTGATCCAGGGTCTTTTTGAAGGCTTCTTCGTCGACGAGTGTCGAGTGGACGTGTTCGACGTGAGTCTCGCATCTCTCGCTCGCTCGTTCTATCCTACGCTTACTTGTACTGACTGACGACTGCGCCGTCCCTCCAGGCCACCCTCATCAAGGAATCGCACGGAGATCTCGTCGCACCCCACCGGATAATCTTCCACGATGCCCCCACCGCAGTCCAGATGCTCGGCAAGCCGACGACCCCTGCCGTCTTCACGCCCTGGTCCATGATCCAGATCATCGAGCTCGTCGTCTTCCTGCCGCTGAACTTCGTTCCGGTGGTTGGCACCCCGGCCTTCATCATCATCACGGGCACGCGGCTGGGCAAGCTGGCACATTACCGATGGTTCCACCTGCGGGGATTGAGCAAGAAGGAAGCCAAGAAGGAGATCGAGTCGAGGACTTGGGAGTACGTCTGGTTCGGCACGGCTGCCATGATCCTCGAGCTGATCCCCGTGCTGTCCTTTTTCTTCCTGCTCACCACGTCGGCGGGGGCCGGCCTTTGGGCGGCGAGGGTCGAGGACGAAAAGAGGCGGGAGGCCACGGAGAGCTTGGCGGGAGATCCTCTCCCGCCGCCGCCCCCCTACGAAGATGATCCCGTCTAAGAGGCACCATGACGTTAGGCTTGGCTGTGTTGGCATCTCACTTTAGCAAGCAAGCAAGCAAGCAATTGACCATTCATTCGCCCCTATTTCTTTCTGCACTCGAACATGAAACTTCCAACATGACCCTACGTTCGTCGTCGTTCGGTTTCCAAACAGCCCATCACTATGCCAGCCAGCCAGCCAGCCAGCCAGCCAGCCAGCCAGCCAGCCAGGCTTCAGCCGCCTCGACAAGGCATAACGAGGGGCCGCGTCCCGTATCGTAACGCAGGAAGTAACCGAGAATACCGCACCTTCCATTGTGTGTCCGGAACGGTTCCGGTTCGACGGAAAGATGACGTTACTAGGTACACCTACATGGCGTGATGATCACCGCGACTGGAAAGTAAGTCTACGAGTGTGTGGTGGAAGGCGCGCCGTGCTCGATGATCTCATGCCTTTCCTTCCCTACTTCCTACTTACTACTTACCTAGGTACCTAGTCACATGGCACACTACGTATCATGGAAGTCTGTACGTACGGGTGGGCTCATGTCCTTTTCGTGCCAGACACATGGACGAGAGAAGGAGCAGTCCTTGGGAGGAACAGCACTTGGAATTCTCCTGTATTGTGATATGGTGGACGTCCACTCAAGTCTTTTCGGTGTGTTCAACTACCGTTATCGACAGACAGCACCTGGGAGATTGCCGGGGCGAAGAACAACACCGATCGATGTACTTGAAGTCATCCATCCCTATACATCGAGGAAGGACCCGGCGAGTTGGTTCTTTCTCTCCACGATGTGGCCCACCGCCCCCGTTCCCTCACCGGCAAGCACACATGTGCGTGACTGCCTCATCTTCGACTCTCCTCTTCAAACATTCTACTCCAGGAAGGAGGGAAGGAAGAAGACAGCCATGCCTGCTGCTATCCATCTGCCTTCACAGCTGTTCTGCGTGATTCTCTCCCCGTCCCGTCCCCTCCTCTCCCCCCCCCCTCGTCCTATTTAATCCTCTCGAATACCCGTCTCTCCCCTCTGATTCTTCTCCTCTCTCCGTCCTCATCTCAACCTCTTCACTCCTCTGTCCACTCTCATTTCAATTGCCACACACATACAAACCAACACTCTCTTCCTTTCCTGTCTTCGCTACCTGCGTATTCAATCTACTGCTGCTCTCCGCATCACCTACGTCCTCTACGTGTTCTTCCTACACCTAGATCAGCCGACACTACCCATCGTCAAGATGCGGGCCTCAATCGTGGCCATGTCGGCCTTGGCGTAAGTCTTCCTTCCACGCTGACGTCCAAGCTTCCCAGGCATGCCCAACTAATGTTTCGTTGCAGAGCTGGCGTCTTCGCCCAGCCAACCTGTCCCGCGGCGGCCACCACGACCGTCTTCGTCACGGTCGACTCGGCCAATGACGTTGGTCCCTCGGTCGTCGTCCAAACTGTCACCGCTACCGTTTTGCCCTCTGCCCAGTCCCCTTGGTCTCCTGCCTCTCCCAGCATCCCGGCTACTCTCACAGTCACCATTGACAGCTATGACCCTCCTGCCGGTGGTTCCCAGTTCACAGGTCCCAAGCCTTGGGAGTCATCCCCTACCCAGCCCCCTGCTTTCACCGTCGTCACTGCTACCGTCTCTTCTCCTGATCTCGGCACATCCGTTGGCGTTCCTCCTGCGTCCACCACCTCTTGCCCCTTTGTTACCGCCAGCCCTGGTTCTGATGGCAACACTGCTGGCGTCACGGTCATCACTACGACTCTTCACAGGACCAATGCCTATCCAGGTCAGGCGACGCCCTCTGTTGACACCGTGGTGGCAACGTTCACGGTCACGTTCCCGCAGCCTGCCGCCACTAGCTATTTTCCAGGCTCTGTCTTGACGACCGGCGCTGCTGACTCTGGGTCTGGAGAGCTGTTCACCTACACCATCCCTGCACCTGCGGCGGCTAGCCCTTCCTCTGGCCCTGGGAATGACCCAGCTGTTACCTCCTTCACCACCACGCTGTACCGCACACGCCCTGGGTCTGTCTCGGGCACACCTGTTGTTGACGCATTTGTGACTTGCTTCACAGTCACCTTCCCTTCGGCGACCGGTACAGGACCCGCCATCACTGGCGTTCCTGCGGTTTCAACCGCTGTTCCGGGCGGTTCTCCAGGAGGTGTTGTCCCTGGAGGCTCGGTGGGCACGACGACTCGCTACATTCCCACCATGGTCCCCGGACCTGACGGTTCGTTGAGTTACTCCATTCAAACGGTTGTGTCAACTTTCACGTCGCCCTCCGCCAACCTTCCTTCTACCGCTGGCACCGGTGTAACCACTACGATCGTCCCCACGTACCCTTCGGGTACTCCCCCGGGTGAAGCTGCAACCGTTGTCACCACAACTTTGTACGCTCCCCTTCCCAGCGTCGGCAACCAGTCAGCTGACCCTTCGGACCCTTCCGTTGTCGTTTTCACTCTTACACTTCCCCAACCATCGGCTGGTGACCCAGTCACTTACACTACCCAGTTTCCAAGCAACCCTGGAAACATTGGTACTGGCGGCGCGAGCACTCCGGCTGCTTCCACCATCACAGTCATCCAGCCGGCACCGGGCCCTGGCTTCCCTACCCCTGCGCCTGGCAGCGACATGGCGACTTCGATTCCCGGCAGCTACGGTGACCCTGTTCTTCCTGGTGTATCCGGCATCCTCGCCTCCGGTGCTCCCGTCTCTGGCATCCCGGCTGCTGGGGGGTCAGTCCCTGGCAGTGTTCTCCCTTCTGGACAGACCCCTGGTTCCCCCTCAGCCGGCTCTGGAAACTCTCAAGACACTCCGGGAGCACCCGTAACGGTTACCATTTCTTCAGGTGGCGTTGGCGCCGCTCCTACCAGTAGCTTCCCGGGTGGCTACGGCGACCCAGCCCAGACTGGCCTCCCTCCTTTCATTCCTGGCTCAGCGGTAACTTTGACTGTTTCCCAATCGACTCCTGTTGCTGGTGTACCAACATCTCTCGTTGGCGCTCCGACATCTGTTGTCGGCGTTCCCACATCCCTCCTTGGTGGCTACAGCTCTGTTGTTGTCGTTGACCCTGGAACTCTTGCCTCGCTCCCCCAGGCCTCTCCTTCTGTTGTTACCATTTGGCCAGTCGCCTCGGGCATTGACTCTGCTCTTCCCGGCGCCGCATCCACGACTTCATGCTCTAGCACATTGTCGTCTGAAACTGTCTCTACAGCTCTTCTCACCAGCACTTTGGTCAATGTTGTTGCCGATGCCACGACCACTTACACATTCCCTTACGAATCTCTGGTCACCACGGTCGACGCTGTTGATTCAACTGGAGGCGCTGTCCCTGTCGCCACCGGCGCTGTTTCCACCATTATTGGCTCTGCTTCAGTCACTGGCTCTGCCGTCTTCTCTACTGTCGTCTCTGCTGTTACCTCTGTTATCGTCTCCCCTGCTACCTCTGCCGTTGTCTCACCTGTCATCTCTCCTATCACATCTGCTGTCGTCTCCTCCGTCACCTCTGCTGTCGGCGTGTCCACTTGGCAGAGTGTCATTGTCCAGAGCTCGGTCATCCAAGTGTTCACCACAGGAGTCTTCACCAGCCTCGTACAGCCCACCGCCATTCACAAGCGCTATCTCAACACAACCGCAACGGCAGTAACGCCGGTGTCGACGCCGATCTGCACAGGCACCACAGAGGTTGGCAATCTCAACCTGGATGTAAGCTCCTCGCCTCTCCTTGTTTCGCCTTCATGATACTGACGCTTTCCTACAGTTTGACGATGTGCCTTCTGGTCCCTTCTTCAACCCTTACCACCGCTTCTGGTTCTCCAAGGGGTTCCTGGTTGGCCCACCTCCGCTGATGCCGTTTGTCCCATCATCTGGCGGCCACCTTCTCGAATTCGTGCCCCCAGTTCTGTCAAACAGCTCCGCGAACGGCATATCTGGCGATACAGCCCAGATTGGTATGGGGAAGCTTGCTTCGTCTCCTTGTTTCCAGTTTGAATTCCTCGGCATGAACTTGGGCTGCTACTCCGACTCTGCTGTCCCCAACCAGCTTTGTGTCTTCACCTTTACCGGCTACAGATGGGATGCAAGCCAAGCCAAGGAGACCGAAGCCGTCAGCCAAGAGGCCTGGGTCAACGCCTGCAATAAGTCTTCCGACTGTCCTCTCACTTCCTTCTCGGCTCTGGGCTTCACTGGTCTCAGCTCAATTCTGGTCACCTTGCATATCAGTGGTCGCCCTCAGGTCTGGTGGGCTGATGACCTCCGAGTTGGCTGGACCAAGAACGACTGCGCGACTGCGAGCTGCAGACGACAGACCCAGCCAGAGGCCTCCCAGCTCCACGCCGGTCCGACTTGGTTCTGGACTCCCAGCGGCCTGAGGATCTTGTCATCTTCCAGAATCAACCCGCATCTTTTGGGTTGAAGGTGAATGAACACTGGCTGACATGGATGATGAGGATTGTTACAAGGGTGATGGAGGGATTGTTGTGTTGCCACACCATTTGGTCCAAATTTCTTGGGAGACTCACTGCGAGCCGTAATGTGTGTTTGAGATGACGATGGGGACAAGGGACCAATTGCACCTATGTATGCTACTGCAAGTATTCTAAATGAATGATTTTTGGAGGTCCATGACGATTGCCACTCTCAGTTGCCGCGACGTCTACCCCGAATTCCGTGCTTGCTTGACATTGCTTGATGTGGTGGCCTCATACCTTTGCATCATCAACCACGTCGACAGGACTGTCGGTCAACGACCAGGACACAACGAACCGAGCAGCGGACCAAATTCTATCTGTCTGTATCAGAGCCCCATTCTATCCACAACGCGAGCAATTTCCTCAATATGCTCCGCACGTCGCACGCCCTCGACCGCTTGATGGTTCTGACCGCCAACAGGGGCACCGCATTCCGGACAACGGGCACGCTCCATGGGCATGCCGCACTCGCCGATGGTGAACGGGTGCCCGTTGAGGCATGTGTACCAATGCCCCGTCCCCCTGAGCTCCTTGCTCATGGCCGCGTAGACTTCGCGCAACTCGTCGGCCGACACCTCGTTGTAAAAGACGCCGTCGTGCAGCATGCGCCCCGCGTCCTCGAGCTCGGGCTCCAGCAGGGCCGTCGACGGCTTCTGTCGGACAAGCTCTCTTCCCAGTTGCAGATGGCGCTCTCCGAGGTCTTTGATATTGTCTCGTGCCGGGGACTCCCCGCCGGGACCGACTGTTGTCTTCATCGGGATCGTGTCATCGGGGTGGGCCAAGGAGCAGAACTTGACGAGCAAGATGTGTCCCTCGAGCTCCAGCCGGTGGAAGTTCCTCGTGTGCGCGGTCCGGATCAGTCTCTCACAGTCCCTGATGTGCGGCACCGCATCGATCTTGGCCGCCTTCGCTGCCGTGTTCCCCTCAGCGGCGCGGCACAGGCCGAGGTAGTCTGAGATGAGTAGCAGGTCGCAGCGAAGGAGGAGGATCATGGCTTGCAGCACCCCGCCCATTTGGATGGCCGACTCGTCAAAGGAGAAATCGCTGGTCTCGCGTCGCTTATTGACGTGCCAAACTAGGTGAGCCACCCGCTGGTACGGCTGCTCGTCTCGCCTGACTGACCTGAAAAAGTCCGCCATCTGGCTCCGCAGCCGCTTCAGGCTCTTATGTCGCTTCGTCCCGGTGAGCCTGAGGACCCTGTTCACCTGGTCTGATCGGGAGCCCTCAAGGTTGAAACCTCCTGGGTGCTCCGCAGGAAGCACGAAACCAGCACTGTCCGTCTTTTGCAAGGCGTCTTGCGCATTGAGTAACGCCTCCATCAGTGCCTCCCATGTCCCTCGAGACCAGCTGATGAACTTCTTGGTTGATTCGTCCAACAGGCCACGGCGAACGATTCTTCCGTATCTCGAAATGTTCATGAGAGACCCTCGGCACTCGGGGCACACATTGACTTTAGTTGAGGAGAAGGGCTCCGAGCCGGTCTTGAGAGCTACAGGCACGCCTTCTGGCGACATCTCATAGTGATCTCTCAGGCCCATCTGACCGTCCATTGTCGTGACAGTCAGGAAATGACCACAGTCTGGGAAGATGCATGGATCCTCGTCCAAGTCGATGGACTGGTAGTTCTCCATCATGATGAAGTCCACGGTTCTGTCTTTTATATCCTCCACAGCGCATACTTGGCAGTATCTCGGGGATGGGCAACGCTCGCCGCAAACGGAAGGGCCTTAGCATAGCGTTAGCATTCCGAATATTCGCCAAAGCGGGCTGCCACCTCGTACGATGTACTTACATTGGTGGCCGCACTCCAACTGCTTGGTGCACCGCTTCGTGCAAGGGATCCAGTCGCACGGCGCTGCGCATCTGTCAAATCGGGGAGGGTCAGCTAGTAATTCAATCGGGTTCTTCGTCTTGGAGGCAAGAACTCACGGCATACTGCAACTGGAGTGTGGGCAGCTGGAAGAGCACGTCTCCTCTGCGCAAGGGGCGCAGGGCTCGTGGCACTTCTTCCCGCACTTGGAGTGTACGCACTGGTTCTGGCAGGGAGCAGGGCAGGGCGGACAACCCATATCTCCATGACAAGCCTCTCGACAGCGATGGCTGCATGCTGTGAAAGACCTTTCGCAAGGCTGTCTGCATGTCCCGTGGTCTTCCCCGGTCACCTTCCCGTCCTCTCGTGTGCGGCAAGTCGAACACCGCATCTTGCATGCGTGACCACAGGGTCTCTGGGAACCACACTCTGCTATGCACTGGTAACTGTTCCAGGCGACATCCACGTGGCAGGGCACCTTGACCGTATGATTACATCCGGGAACCTGCTTGTTGACTTGAACGGTACACCTGATGTTGGAAGGATCTTGGGCTTTCCAGCATTCCACGGTGTCAATTGTGTGGCCGCACGGGAGCTCGAGTCCGACGCCACGCAGCACCTCTCGGCATAGCTTATCACATGGCTCGCCACAGCGTTTCCGGCAAGCATGATCGCAGCCTTCCTTGGGCTTCACGCAGTCTTCGAGACACTTCAAGGCGTTGTGGAGAAAGTCCGAGTGACAAGGCCCGGTGCAGGAATGACCACAGGGCAACCGACGATCGCACTTGCGGTTGCATCCTCCGTCCGGCGAAGACTGGATAAACTGCTCAGCCCGTGAAACCAGACTCCTGCTCTCAGGATGCCGCGGGCATTGCAGTTCCAGCTCCCTGCCGAAGTTGCCGCTGTTCTGCAGTATCTCAACGACCTGGGCCCACATGGGCACGTGGCTCGAGGTGTTGGAGTTGCCAATGATGTACATGCCGTGCTTTGCGCGAGACAGCAGAACGTTGATGCGGTTGGAAGTGCTGAGAAAGCCGCATCTCTTCTCGTTGTTGCTGCGGACAAGCGACACGATGACAACGTTGGCCTCTTCGCCTTGGAAGTTGTCTACTGTTGCAGCACGAACCCCGTGCATGGCAGATGCCTTTGCAGCCTCTCCCCGAGAGGCAGCTTGTGGGTTTTCGTCAGATGAGTCAATCCCAGCCAGATCTTCCGTGTCACGATCATTGACAATGATCTGCATGATGGATCCGAGCTTCTGTCGCAGCTTTTTCAGCTGCCCCAGGTATGGCGTCAGCACGGCGATTTCCCCCGATTTGTAGACGCCTTGCCTCAGAAGGTGACAGACGAGCGCCGAGACCATCTCAATTTCAAACTCGTTTGAATGTGACGTCTCGATGGATTCATGGTCAGAATGCCGTCCCGATTCGGGACTCTCGTGGTGTAGCCAAAAGAGTCGCTTGGCTAAGCCACAAACCTCAGGATACTTGCGGACGCCATCGGAATCTGACAGAGACGGGTACAGTGTGGATCGCACCAGCTCCGATATTGACGGATGCATGCGACGCTGCGTGTCGAGAATGCTGAACGGAAGGCTAGGAACATTAGGAGGCGGCTGAACAAGCCTCTCGAACAGGGACACGTCCAGAGAGTACTTGATCCCTGCCGGGTTCGCACGCTGAAGCCTCCAGTCCTGTATCTGAGGGCGAAGCTGGAGATGGTCTCCGATCAGGATAGCATGCTCAACCGTGGGAAGCAGGGAGGTGAGGAGATGGGCTTCTAGAACCTCGCCTGCTTCCTCGCAAAGGAGGACCTTGACCTGAACACGCCGTAGAAGATCGAGGTTCATGGCCAGCCCCGTGGTTGTGACCCCGATTATGGTCGCCTGCTGGAGACACCGCAAGTCAATGGCACTCCGGACCATCTTGTTGTGTTCTTGATGCTCTTCGTATGCCTCATGCAACTCAGAGAGCTCCTCAAGCTCTGTGCGCAGCGCTTCCTGCAGCCAGTCCTCGTAGAGGACGATGCGCTCCTGATGAGACAAGTTCGATAGACTCAGACGATAGAGATCAGGGAGCGGGCGAGTGGTTTTCGCCGCAGAACCACCTGATAACCACTCATTCACAGCCTTCTTCCGTGCATGGCGGACAGTGGTCCAGCCTTCCTCATTCCCGGGTTCTGGTCCGAAAAGCTGGTCGTGCTGTGAGGGGTGGCGCTCGGCAAGAAAGAGGCGAATCTTGTCGTGGGTGTTGAGAAACTTGAACGTCGATAGTTTCTTGGTGATTTCGGCGGTGTCACTATTCAGAATGTTGATGGATTCGTACATTGATCGGCCTTCCATCTTCGTACGTGTCTCAACCTTGACAACTTGACTCAGATTCACCGGACCCAACCTTTCTGACTTGGACCGGGAGCCGACGCGAATGATGTTCTGCACACCATCATCCAGTAAATGTTCCAACAGTTGATCCAAGGCGTGATTTGTGTAACAAACGCACATGATTGGTCCCAATCTTGCTTTTGATTTGTTGGCAAGTAACACCTTGATCAGAGCTTCTCCAGTGTAACTTTTGCCTGTGCCAGGGGGGCCCTGGATCAAGGCAAAGGATCTTCTCAGGGAGTTAAGGACGGCCTCGGATTGGGTCGAGTCCAAAGTGGAATGTCGGCTGAGCTCCGATGGCGTGGGAGCCTCGCCAGTTGCATAGGACAATTTCGTCCCGTCGTTGGATAGGCAGCTGAGGTCAAACGAAAACCCCGGCCGTAATGAGTAAAGGGGCGGGGGGTTCTCGGGTGGTTCGTCGCCAGCTCGAAGGGTGAGGAGGTTTTGGAACGGCACGTCTGTCCTCCGTGACATCTTCTGCATTGCCTTTAATGGAGGCGCAAAGGCCGGGAGAAGGATTGATGGGAACTCGAGAAGCCGACGATTTTGCCAGAGGCCCGCCGTCTTGAACCACAACATACATCTCTTGACTTCCGCAGTGCCGGTTTCCACCAGATGTAAGCGCACATAGGCGTAGTCCTTGTCGTCGGGTAGGCTGTAGCGTGGACCCTGCTCTGGCTCCCCTGTTTCCACTTGCTGAGTCTTGTTGTCGGCATCGCGGATGGTGGACCTCGACACCTGGAAGAAGAAGATGCTGCCGGCTTTGTCAACGATGCAAACAAGACTCCCATCCGTGAGCCTCTTCTCCTGGTTCCACCAAGCCGCGCGATCCATCTTGCCCAGGTCCTTGGTCGCTCGTGGCTGATCAATCCTGATAATGAATTCAAGACCGGACCGCCTGTCGAAGGAAACATCAATGGCAACAGCGCGTTCGTACTGAACAACTCTATTACGGATCTCCTTCACCTTGACGTTTGAATCCACGCTGGCGCGGATCGCATTGCGTAGATCGTGCAGCGTGTCCTCGCGGAGCAGACGAAAGTGCCTGTCCAGCAAGCCTTGCAGTCCTTGCAAGTGATGTTGCGCAGGGTTGACAGTTGGCAGATACTCGTCCCGAGATGACATGATCTCTTCATGTGTGGGCATGAGTTTTATGTCGAAAATGTCCGCATGGTCGTTGTCGTGACGTGGGCCGCGCCTAGAAAGTCTTCCTGGCATGTCCTGGCTCAGCGTGAACTCGGCCAAAGTGCCCGAAGAAGCCGATGAGGCTTGGGTGGCATTAGGCAAAGATTGGCCGAGGCCGAGGCGTCGGCGGACGTATTCAAGGTATTTCTCGGCTTGCATGGTGTGGAAGTCGGCTTTTCGATCGCCAAAGACTTCCAGGCGAAGCTGAATCTCGTCGACGATGGATGTGAAGTGTGCACTAACGATATTGGCCGTACTGGTATTGATGATTTTGGACAACACGCCGCAGGCGAGCGCGAGGGCCTCGATGCCAGAGTCACAGTCGTTATTTTGGAAATGTAACTCTGACCAGTGGTCAACGAGGTCAAAGAGAAAGCGGTACAGGCGATGAAGGCGGGTAGCATCAATGCCCAGAAGTGATCGGAAGAGAGTCGTGGTTTCTTGCTCCAGAACCACGGAGTCGATGACGCTCGGGTGGAGAAGAATGCAGAACAGGGGAAGAATTTGAGACTCCCAAATGAGAACCTTCTCCTTGGGGTTTTTGTCCGCCGCCCCTTCTATGACGCGTTGGATGATTGACAGTCGCTGCTCGGAGGCCATGTCTTTGATTACCTCTTGTGCCAAGCTCACGTCCTCTTCCACCAACTCAAAAGCCGTTCGGAAGTACTTGGGTGTTTCGCGGTCCAACTGGACAGGCAGCTCGGCTGGCTTGGGCCGTAGTCGCCTCCAGGCATAGAGCTTCTCGCGTTCGGCACTAGGAGAATTGCTCGTGGAGCTGGACTGCTGCATATGGGGACGGCGGCTGTCGCTATTGGCTTTGTCGTGAACAAATTTGCATTTGGCCCCAAAACGACACGATCCGGGACCGTTCCAAAAACGACATGGAGCGGGCGAAGTGAAGCTCGATGACGAGCGAGTCCTATCGAAGCTTCGTGTCAGTCCAATAACTGCAAGGGAGGTTGGGTGGTGTCAGAAAGTTGCCTACCATGCTCCGGGAGTCATAGCTGATGATTCGGTGGTATGCTGTATCCTTCAAGTTCTGGAGGAAGGAGACTTGAGGTACTGTGTTTGTAATTGTGGTGAATGACTTGAGAGGAGATGTTCATCAGCTGGAAATCACAAGCCCTGAGTCGGGGCGGCCAACGTACGCCTCTTTAAAAGGGACGGCTACCGCAGACACGCTTAACCGGCTGTCTGCCTGTAAGCTGCTGCCGTGGGGCCATCCAGCAGTCTCCATGTGTTGGCGACGCAGGCCTCTTTCATGGGGTGTCTTTGACGCAGCCTCACATGGCAAACTAAAGAAGACCTTTGAACAGGTGATTTCGGTCAAGGATGAGGTGGGGAGTACATTCAAGCGACCCCTGTCCGATGCCTAGTACTCCCGCCATGGGAGGTCTAAAAGGTTCATCGAGCTTTTTGGGACACCTAGATGACGGGGCGGTGTCAAAAGATGGTGGCATCTGGTTCGTCAAGAGAGAGTTTCTGGCTCTGGGTCGGATGTGTGGTCGCAGGATGCTGTCATGCGCATGGACATGGATCTCGGCTTGGCTATCTCAACCGCCACGGCAAGCCGCAACAAACGATGCAGGAGGCCGACCCCGACGAAGGCAGGCTGCCAATGGGATGTCGAATAGAACTGGAGGGTCAAGGCAGACGGAAAGGTAACGAACAGACAACAAGAGGAGGGGCAAAGTCAGCCTGGCGGCCATCCGGGCGGCCAGGGCTGAGCCATGTCGCCAGATGGAGAAACCGTGATTGGTCTTGTCAATATGTGAGTAGCGTTGGTTGGATCTTGAGAGGCTGAGATGGGACGGCCTGTCGCACTGGCCAGTGTCTGGTTGGTTTTCAGCGTGGATATCCAACGCGCTGGTCGGTAATTCCATCATCATTCATGGCAGCATTTTTCTTGGGCTGAAGTGGTAATTCGACTGTTCCTTTCGAACATACAAGCCGTCTTTGGTTGGATGGCAGTCATCATCTCGTAGTAGGGATGATGCGGCTGTTGGCTATTGGTACGTTGGTTGCGCGTTGGACTGGCCGTGCGGAAGGCTCGGCTATGCTGTTGGCCACAATGCGCGTCTAGGGAAGCAGGCTGAGCAACCAGTGGTCTCCGGCGAAGATAGAGGGAGATAGAGAGGCAGTCGAGCATCCGAGTTGTTCGATTTTCCTTGCAATGCATGCATCTTGTGGTGGTGGTTTATGACCAGAAGCGGGAGGTTAAGTCGAACAAAAGGTGAGGTAGGTACTTTGAGGTACGGAGTACGTACCTACCTGCCTACCGAGGAACGTACTGTATGTATCTGCCTAAGGTAGGTAGGGGTAGGTACGATGACATGGAAAGAGCGCTGTGTCCCGTCCAACCTTCCCTCCCTGCTGGTCAATGCTTGTCCAGTCTGGGAACGATCACTTCGAACCAACAAAACCTCATCAGAGATATTGGTCCCCGACCAATCCTCAGCTACCTATACGAAGCAGTTGAACCCGATGCACTGCATGGGACCGGACTAGGAATGCTTCTGTCGCGGCGCCTCGCCTGGTTCCTTCTCGGGTCCCCGAAAAGACACCGGAGCCGGCATCGGCGGATCACCGGCACAAGGTTCACGTCCCCGACGCCGTGGTCCTCGACAGTCTCACCTGGACGATCTGAAGGACGGGCACTGAGTTCATCCCTCTCTGCAACAGCACGGACGACACCCCGGAAAGTGCCTTTGACTCCTGCATGTCACCTCATCACCCCGGCCAAGATGGTCCGCGCTGCACCGTATCATTGGCAATGTGGTTGGCTGCAAGGCCATCCGTCATCGGTCTACCGGTACCAGGTCGCGCGCGCGAGATTGGATTTTCGCTGCTCGTTTCGCCGATGCAACTCCGGCTTGCGTAGGTTTTCAGGTGGATGCCAATTGCCCCATTCCCTTCCCCCGCCGTCCCAGCGTCGCCGCGGCCGGGGTCGGCGCCGACGTGGGTGGATGGGTAGTGCTGCTCATGACTCGGGCGGTCGTATGAAATACAGTCTCAAGGGAACCGTCGCATGATTTGCCTTTGGGAAACTGCGAAACGAATTGCTCGGCAGAGATAAATAGGTTGCGACGTCGAACCCCAACGGTCCCCGCGTCCGTCCTTTCATGAGCCGGAGAAAGCATGACGCCATTGACAAACTCACTGTGGAGATACACCCGCCCAAGTCGTTCAGGACCGGATTCCGCTTGGCGCCGCTGTTCCGCAGTAGGGAAACCATGAGCACGCCTCCCGACCGCGCCGCCCAAGATGCAGAGAAGAGGCACGCACAGGTGACAGACATGCCGGTCCGCACAGACTCCGACTTGGAGAAGAGCGGAGGCGACGGGGCCAAGGAGGACGGCCCCTCCACATCGGACGACGACCGGTCCCGTGTGGCGCAGGACGCGAACACGGACCCGAGTGCCCATCTCGGCCCTGGGCCAGACACGGCCAGCATCGCCGGCCGGGTGCTCAGCCGGGCCACCTCGAGGTCCAGCGCCACTCCCAGCCCGCCTCCCGACGGAGGCGTGGCCGCATGGATGGCCAGTGAGTTGCGCCAAGGCGTACCCCGATGAGCCTACGAGTCTGACTTGATCCACACAGTCTTCAGCGCCCACTTGGTCATTATGAACACCTGGTGAGTCTGATTCCCTTCCCGGCCGGCGCGCATTCCCGCCTGAGCCAAGCTGACAACCTGCCAGGGGCGTTGTGAACTCTTTCGGCGTCTTTCAGTCGTACTACACCACCCTCCTCTCCCGCCCGCCTTCCGACATCGCCTGGATCGGCTCCTTCGAGGTCTTCCTCCTCTTTTTCATAAGCACCTTCAGCGGCCGCCTCACCGACGCCGGCTACTTTCGCCCGCTCTTCGTCTCCGGTTTTGTCCTCGTCTCTCTCGGCATGCTCGCCACCTCCTTCTGCACGCGCTATTGGCACTTCTTCCTCGCCCAGGGCATCTGCCTGGGGTTCGGCAACGGCCTCCTGTTCTGCCCTGCGCTGTCGACGGCGTCGACCTACTTTGACAAGAGGCGAGGCCTTGCGCTGGGGTTTGTGTCGATTGGCAGTTCATCGGGCGGCCTGATCTACCCGACCATGGTGAGGCAGCTGCTTCCGTCCATTGGCTTCGGCTGGACGATCCGTTCTATTGCGTTTGTGCAGATGGGCACATTGGCCGTTGCATTCATGTTCTTGAGGCCCAGGGTGAAGCCGAGAAAGACGGGAACCATTGTTGAGTGGGCGGCATTCAAAGAGTTGGAGTACACTTTCTACGCCGCTGGGTCCTTCCTGGTATGCCGAATGGGTTTTCCCCTTTCTCTCCTCTTTGGTGTCGGTGCTGACGCAAGTCTGCGTGCGATAGAACTACCTAGGCGTTTTCTTCGCCTTCTACTACCTGGCCTCTTACACCCGAGACATCATTGGCCTGAATTACAACTCCTCCCTCAACCTCCTACTCGTTCTCAACGGCGTGGGTGTACCGGGCCGCCTCCTGCCGGGCTATATCGCCGACCGCATCGGCTCCATCAACACCCTCATACCCATGTCCCTGGTTTCCGGCCTTCTCATGTACTGCTGGGTCGCCGTTTCATCCACGGCAGGTCTATACGCCTGGACACCCTTCTACGGACTTGCAGCGAGCGGGATCCAGAGCCTGTTCCCTGCGGCGCTAAGCCAGTTGACGAGCGACCCGAGGAAGCAGGGTACGCGGATGGGCATGACGTTCACAATCGTCAGCTTTGCCGTGTTGACAGGGCCCCCGATTGCCGGGGCCATCATTTCCACCCAAGACGGGAAGTACGTCGGGGCACAGGTCTTTGCGGGAACTTGTTTGATGGCGGGCACGTGCTTTTGGGTTGCTGCGCGGATGGTGAAGACGAGAAAAGCTGGCGGGGGACTATGGTTCAAGACCTGATGAGGCGGGGAGGGGGATGGACCACAGCTATATAATTTGGCTGGTGATGTGTTCGTTTCTCGTTACGTATTGGTCGATGTAAGTACGATAATCAATTTGAACCAACGCCGTACTCTCTCGTTGTAAGTATTCCACGTTGGCCTCGATGAGGGTCTGCCTGATTCCGGTCTCCTCTTGGTTTGTCATACGTTTGTCACAGTATGGATAGGGCTCCGGGCTCCTGCACCTCGACGAGCAGAACCTCCCCGCCAATGGTAGGCAGAGTCTCGGGCGCCACGTAACACCGTCTGCCGTGCGCTGCGCCTAGGTGTTCCCGCGCCCCGTTCCGAGCTTCGAGTCTACGCGGCCGTTGCAGCAGGCCGTCGAAGCAGCCCAGGCTTCGGGCTTATCGGGCTGGGAGGGTTGCGGATGGGCAGAAAGCTGATATTCGTAGGGAGGCCAAATAAGAGCGCGATGGGACCTGGCTGGTAAAAGACATCATCCTGCCTTATGTCAATGAACGAGCTGCGACCGACGTCCAAATCCAAACACTAACAAACGGTTTATTGACGATGCTGCAGCATTATATTTGAGCATCGGTGTCGATGTCGATGCACAACAGACAATGCGGCTACCCGTTGCCAACGCAAACCGCCAATGACATCTGATGGTGGGTCTGGTTTCACCTTTTTACTTCGGAACTTGGGCACAGTTTCCCGGGCCTGGGACGCTGGTTCGGACGATGCTCTCAGGTCCGTGATGAATACTTCAAGATGCAGAGGGCCGGTAGCCACACGATGACCATGACGTTTCCGACAGGTCAACGTTCAAGTAGCACAACGTGTCGTGACGTCTATTCAGCGCTGTTCTGCTGACCGAACAGCTTCAGATGTGCTGCCCGAAGAGCAAAAGCAAACGCCATGCAGAGGGCGAAGAAGAGCGGTCTAGCATGGCGCGGGGGGAACTGAACTGATCTCGCCCAGTGGTGTTGGAGAGCCCGGTAGCCTTTGAGGGAAGTTGGGTGCGTGGATATCGTGGATATCGTGTAAGTACCCGCGGCAGTCGTTGGCATTCCGATTCGGATGTTACGCTGGCCGAGCTTCATTCCGATATCAATCAGACAGAGTAGGGATAGAACACAACGTTATAAGAAGTCAATCTTTGGCTGCCCAACATGTGCTATGGCGACGTTCCGCGCCTCCGCGCTTGTCAGTCATCCCCTTTAACCTTATCTCTCAGTTGGTTTATGCTGATCCTAAAGATAGCTAGGTAGTGCCCAGAAAGCAGATGGTTCTGCTGGAGACGAAGAAAAGCGGCACGTGACGAGGCAGAATGCTTCCGGGAAGAAGCAATAAACAACCAAAAGAGCAGTAAGATCAGGATGGGAAGGCACGACGACCTCAGTCCTCGCCTCGCCTCACCTCGCCTCGCACCTTCTCTGTCTAAGGTATCCTCCAGTTGCGTTGTACTCTCCTCCAATCCAGGCAGGTGGGACCTCGTCCGGCCGTTGCTTCCCTCTACACACTTGCACTTCCGTCCCTCACACCTTCACTTTTACCCGTGTTTTTATTTTATCTTTTTATTCCGGGGGGTTTTCTATTCTTTTTTGTTTCTTTCTATCCCCTCCCCCAGTCACAAAAGCAGACGACGCGTTCAAGTCTTCACCTGCAGCCAAGAGAGAAGAATTCAGGTGGTTTTCCACGCCATTCCTTCCTCTACTCCCTCACCCATCTGCACCTCATCGTCCTGGCCGTCCTCGTGTCTGTCTTCACCTGCAGCACTCTCAACCTAGATTGCCACTGCAGCTCCGGCAGTAAGTGTATTCGTTTCCTCTGTCCATGGAGGTTCAAGCTCATACAATCCCTTCTATCATTCTCTTTTCCTCACTTTAGTTGCGTTTGTTGTCTTCTTTCTCTTCCTTCTTTATTGTTTTTCTATATTTTCTGCAGCTCCTTTCTCTGACATGTCTTCCATGATAACAGACAACCCAGACAACAAGCAACAATGAGTACCAACAGTAACTCAGCCATGCATGCCATGGGTTCACTAGCCTCGCCCCTGAAGCGCAACGCCAGCCAAACCTTTGAGGCCAACCATGATGAGCAGGTTGACAGGCACGTGGCACTCGACCTTGGCCGTAACCCAACCGGCCCGGCTCGCTTTATCAAGAAGCCCCAGCCCAAACTCTTCTATCCTGAGGCAATGGCACGAGACGCGATGAGAGGTGAACTTGTCTACACTCCCGACCTCAAACCCATGATGGACTCCATTGTTCGCGATATGCGATCGACCAGTCAAACCGTCGGACGTCACCTGGGTTCCAACATCCACTACTCCAAAATGAAGAGCATCTTGAAGCAGAGCCAGAGAGCCATGATCACCCTGGACCGATACCTCTTATCTGAGGCCTTCATCCGGACCGACATCTGGATGACCAACCGCCTGCAAGAGTTCTTTAAGCTGGTCCACTTGTATGGTCTGGAGAGGGAGTTCCGCGATGAGTACTGGGAGAAGAACCAGCAGTCTCACCCATCCAAGATCCAGAAGCTCTACGACTCCATCGAGCGGCCTCTCACCCATTCCGCCTTGGACGAAGCACTTGCTGATCAGATTACAAACTGGGCAAAGGACATCATGAGTCGTTCCGTTTACGTCCCTCGAGCCGACCACCCTATCATCCGCAGCGCTGTCGCCATCATGAACATGGCGGAGCAGCAGCCAGACATGCTCCAAGAGACTCCTAAGCGTGTCGCCCAGATCTGGGCTGCCTGGTGCCTCGCACGCGACAAATGCTGGGCTGAGACCACGTACCTCGCTGCCATCATCCTGGATCGCGGAGCCAAGAACCAGATGGTGGCCAAGTGCTTCCGCCGCGAGAACAGCGCCTTGCTGAACCTGGTTGATAAAGGCTACGACGAAGAGGCTTGCCGTCGTTGGCAAGACATGCACGGCAAGTGCCACGTCATCCCCATGCCCGAGTTGCTCTCACGCCCCGTTGTTGCGAGCCTCCTCCGTGCCTCTCCCTCATCCCTGAGCCTGCAAAGGACCTTTTCTTCTGCCTCGCAGCTTCAGAAGACTGCCCGCATGGCCAAGAAGACAGGCAAAACCCTCACCAAAGTAGTTCCCTCCAAGGTCAAGGAGCTTGGCTCGTCATCCAAGCACCAACTCTCTCCTATCCGGCCGTCATCTGGCCAGCATAGCCCCTCCATTCGCAGATTGAGCGATGTCGACTCCACCTCACGATACCGTACCCCGGCAGACATGGTTCGGCATCTTCAAATCCATGGCGATTCCCGTCCCAAAAAAGGCCACAACGAAGAGATGGAGCGGCGTCCGTCCGAGTACAGCAAGAAGCCTGACCACCCCGAGGCGGATCAGCCTCGGACCAAAAAGCGCAAGACCACCACCACCCCTTCGAGCCCCGTCAGCCCCCTTCGACTACAACGTGAGATCCGACATGGCGCAAGTCCCGCTCCGTCTCCAGCGACCCCAATCGCTCCCGCCGCGGCCGCCGGTTCCACCACTCCCATTCCAGCTGCTGTGCCCAGTCCCGCTCTTATTCCTTCCAAGGCCCCTTTGGACATGGCTCCAATTCCTGTGGCTGCAATGTCGGCACCCGCCCCCATGGCTGCAACGTCGGCATCCACCCCCATGACTACGATGTTGGCGCCCATCCCCGTGGCTACAATGTCAGCGCCTCCTCCGACGCCTACCGATCCAACCAGTCAATGGAGCAACCAGCCGGTCAGCGCCGATGATATCGCCACTTTAGTCGCCATGAAGCTCCGCAGCGGCCCCTCTGGCCTCCCTTTCACTAGTCAGCCCGTCGCCACCAAGGCGGAGTACGAATCCATCGAGGAGACCTGGACAAAACTTGAGGCCCGTCTTGAGAAGAAGATTTCCCCTTTGATTCGACAACTTGATAGCCTAACTAGCGAAGTCAAAGCTCTCGGCGACAAGCAAACGGCACTTGAGCAGACCCTCGCAAAGCATGCCGATGACCAGCACAAGTCTCAGGACAAGCAGGTCGCTCATGACGAGAACATAACGAAGAAGGTGGAAACCCTCACCCAGCTCATCGACGACCAGCAGACTGCTTTGAAGCAGGCTGTTATCAAGATGGACGATCAGTACATTGCCGTCAACAAAAGGCAGACCGCCTTTGAGCAGACCATTACCGACCAGGTGGACAGCCTGTCTCAACTGGTTCGGACATTACAGAAGGACAAAGAGGAACTCAAAGCCAGGGTCGAGCGAGGGCAGAAGAAGCGCCGCAGATCTCCGGTGAACGATAAGACAGCAGACTCCATCACTTGCGCCCCCTTTGGGGAGGTGGCGTCCGCTGCCGGAAGCAAGTGCGACTAAGTTGTTAGTCGTCCATCGTACTTCCGTCCACTTCATACGAAGCATGTGATATCTAATGAAGAACAGTGCAGAGCAGGCAAAAAAAGGGGGTAAAAAGAGAGTGCCTGCAGGGCGACTCGGAACGAGTAAGATGACGATCGTGCACAACGGCGATGATTGGAACTGTAAGCGCCAAAGATGAAGGCGACTGCCACATGCGGATGGTATGACGGTTGATAAGGAAAGTCACCGGTCACCGAGAAGACGGATAGATATCACGATTGCAAGACTTGAACTACCACACTGCCGTCAATGAAAGGGTGGTATGGTGCATATACCGAACGAAACGGCTGGATATACCCGGGCGGCACTAAATTGGAGAGAGGATCGCGAGGCAAAAGGGAAAGCCGGGGAAGGATACACCCGCAAAAAAAAAAAAAAAAAAAAAAAAAAAAGAAAGAAAGAAAGAAAGCAGGAGAAAAATATGTCATGATAGTCGGGTGTCAGGGCAAGGGGGTGCACATGGCGGATTTGGAATTTGTTGTGGCCCGTCGGGCAAATGGCGTTTGGACGGAATGGGCCCAAGTTGTAGGAACGCATGGAACGTAGCCTTCGGTCCTGATGAATTTGTAGAATAGAACAGTGTCCGTCAAGACACGTACACACACAAACACAGAAAGCCAGACAAACAAACGAGCGATGCCTCTCAATCCACGGCTTCGCACGTATATCCTTGTGGCCCCCCCCCCCCCCCCCACATGCGCTGCGCATAGTGCTTTCCGGAGCTGCTCTACACCCGTCTCTACAGTCCCGTTCGTTTCCCCGGGCTAAACAGTCATCGTCATGACGGAAACATCGCCATCTACAAACCCCGCCCCCTTGTTGGTTCCTCAACGGGCCTTGATGAGACAACCAGGGAAAGGGGGGAGGGAAGAGGGAAGGGTTGTTAGGATCATGTACTCGAGACCACAAACACATTGGAAGCTACACACTCAAGGATCTGGGCCCATGTGCTCAAAATAGTTCAATTGCCCATCGGGTGCTGTTGTATTCCCGCTTGGCGGCCATGTCATGGGCCCAACTGAGCGACTGCTATCTACATATCACGCTCCAGCTACCCCGATGTCAAAGTTGGAAAGCATCATATCATCAAGTGAAATTGGTATCTCAGAGAAGTTTACATCACGATCTGGACACTTTGTTAGCAACAGTCTCGTCGGTAGCCAAACAAATCTACTCACGCAGTCCGACTCGTCCTTGCCCTTGGGGATGCCCATCGCCTCAAACGTCGCAGGTCCTTGGCCTGTCGGTGGTTTCTTCGCGGGCACCGATTGGGCGCTAGGAGCAGGGCTGGGCTGCTGCTGGGGTCGCGGCTGCGATGATGGCGGCGCGCTGCCAGTACGACCGGGTTGATCGGTAAGGTCTGGCCGGTTGGGGAAAGGTCTGGGCGCACCAGCCGGTCCAGGACCGGCTTGGGGGCGCGGATGGCCCGATGGGTTAAGCGGCATTGATTCGACACGCGAAGGCGCCGCCCCCCCACCGCCTCTGCCATATCCTCCGTACTGCTCGGGGGGGATAGACGATGTTCTCTGTCCATAGCCTCCAGGCTGCGCCGGCAATGGGGAAGGCTGGCCGTAATCGCCCGGCCCGTAGCTGCCCGGTTGGAACGGCGGTGAGGGTTGTGGTTTGGCATACGGGTTCTGTTTGGCAAGCTTGTTCGCGGCAGGTTTGGAGGGAAGGCCACCCGAGGTGGGGAACGGCTGTGCTGTGGACAGACTGGGTGCGGGCCCGGGGCTGGGCTGACGATATCCGGAGGGAGGTCCGACTGACACACGGCCGCGCGGGTCGGCGCCGGCGGGGGGAACCATGTTGCCCATTGACTGCGAAGGACGAATGTTGCCTGCGGGTCCCGGAGGGGGAGGGCCGCCAGGTCCGGTGCGAATTCCAAATGCGCTCCCTGGTCGATCCGAGTGGGGGCCGGCTGGGGGACGGCCGCCGGTGTGGTAGTGAGGAGAAAGCTGAGGTCCAGATCCCCGAGCATGGAGATCGTCTTCGGGATAGGGTGCCGTCGACTTGGGTCTGTTGAGATTGAGCGGCGCGGGCCTATCATCTTCGGGGTAGGGGGCGGCGGACTTGGGACGAACAGCCAAGTTGCCGTCGAGATTGACGGTGAATGCCGATGGTCTGTTGTTGCCCATACTAGTGGGCCGGGAGGGATCGGGATAATCGACGGGTTCATGCCCGGGAGACGGGTGTACCCTCGGAGACGGATGAGGCGACGTCTTGGCCGAACCACCCGGATATCCGGGGTGTACATCGGTGGGAGTGACAGGGGTGCTCTCCGAGACAGTCGGCATGGCGTTTGGCGTCTTGAAACGGTCAGGTCGCTTGCCGCGCTGAGATCCGTGTTGCGACTTGATTCTCGTGAGCGTAGTGGTCTCGTGGTCGGCCTTGGTCAGACTCCTCTCGTGGTCCAAGGCATCGATGCGGCCTCTGGCATCCTTGTTGCCGTGGTCGGCGGCGGCTTCGTACCAGAATCTGGCTTGACGCAAGTCCTTGGGCACGTGAACACCAATTTCGTAGTAGTAGCCCATGGCGAACTCGCCGGTCGGCAACTTTGCATTGGCGGCGTCCTGGGCATACTTGAACGCAAGCTGCTCGTTCTTGTTGAAGATGCCCTCGTATCCGAACAGGAACCATCTGCTGACACCAAGCGCGGCCTCAGGCTGACCCTGTTGGGCTGCGAGGCCGTAGTAGTGGAGCGAGTAGGCGGGGTTGAAGTCACATCCAAGCTGGCAGAGCTCGTAGGCCTGGCCGATCTTCAACTGGGCCTTGGCGAATCCGAGGTAGGCGGCCTTTTCAATGTACATTTTGGCCAACACCAAGTCCACGGGAAGCAAGGCCTCGGGGATGTCAATGTCTGGAAGGTCCTTGGCAAGGAGCATGCCGTAGACGTAGGACCCCTGAGGCGCATCCTCGTCCGCGAGGTCAGCAGCTTCCCTAATGAGGTCCAAGCCGCGCTGGTAGTCCTTCGGATGGCCGTGCTGGCCGAGCAGATTCATCATGCCCAGGCGGTACATAGCCGCCGAGTCTTTGAGTCGCACGCCGAGGTAGTAGTGCTCGACGGCTTTGTTGTAGTCGTTCGAGTTCTCGAACAACATGCCCAGGCGATACTCTGCACGGGCGTAGCCCAGCTCCGCCGCCCGCTGGTACTTTGTGTAGGCATCTCGTTTGTCCGGGCGGCAACCAAACTTGCCAAACTCGAGCCATTTGGCCTTTATGAAGAGGGCCTCGGGGTGTTCTTGGCCCACCAGGTAGTTGACGATATTGATCGCGTCGGTACGCAACTCGTGTTCGACTTTTGGTGTCTGGCGGCCGCTTTCCGGGTCTCTGGCTCTGGCTTCCATGATGATCTCGGCCCACGCCAAAGTGTCACGGGCCCACGACAGCTGCATGGAGACGTTGTTAGAGTGCAGGACATGTTCGCGGGCATTCCACAAGATCTCCTCCTTTTCCTCGTCCGTCGGGGGAATGTTGTCGCCCTTGACCTTGGGGAAGGGGGAGAAGGAGGGCGCCGCGGTGGGCCGCATCTTATGGTGGTTGCCGCTCGCGCTGTTGTCGTGGAAGGGTCTATAGGGATCGGAGGAAGATGGGCCGCCGGTGGGTGCGTTGGCGCCTCCCTTCGGTGGCAAAGCTGGCGCGCCAGAGACGGCGGGCTTGAGGACCGACGACAGGGACGGCTCTCGGCCGTGGCGGTTGGTGATGTTGGAGGGGTTCCGGTTCGGATCGACTTCGCGGGCTTCAAGTTCCATGCGCTGAAGGTCGTTTTGCATGTTCTGCGGGATCTGAGGCGTCACACTGAAGAAAATGGACAGTCAGCAAAGGTTATTGGGCCACGGGGGGGAGTGAAAGAAAGGGCTGAACAAAGAGAGGATGAGCGCCAAGAAACGGCCCCATCTCCAGATCCAGCGAGCGGGAAAGGAGGGACCCATGAGCGATCCGTCGGGATTAAAATGAGGGAATAGGCGTACCGCTGAGGCAAAGGTGCAACGACCTCGGGCATGTAATAATCATCGAACCCTCCGGGGACGAAGGTCGCGCCGAATTGTGACATGTCTTCGGTTGTGCTTTTGGGCTGAAGTGCAGCTGCATAAATAGGAGGTTTATCCGTCAGCGGGGGTTGAACGGAATGACGTTTGGGTTGGAGCCACAGTCAGCTCTTCCTTTCTTTTCTCCCTCCTTCCGGGTATGGGTATGGCGCAAAGTCAGAATTACTTTGCGTATTGCTGGCAGGGCGCTAGCCACCGTCTGGAGTCCCCCGGAAAGAGAACTGCTGTTGGTGGTGCTGCTGGTGCTGCTGTTTGTCGGCTAACTTGTCTGTTCTGCAATACCCCGGGCGAGGGCAGATGAGAAGTCTTGTCCTCCTGAGTGGGGGAAATTTGGCACCGAACAAAAGAAGGGAAGGAAAAAAAAAAGTAAAATTATCACGGCTGGGCTGATGTCGGAAAGAACTTGGAGGAGTTCCAGTGATGTGATGCGTCTCTCGTTCTCAAGTTGCTGTCTCTGCTTTCACTTGCTTTCTGTCTCGAACCGAAGAGCGAAGGCGGCCGGAAGCGGGGAGTGGAGAGTCCAGGTCGAAGCTCAAAGCATCTAGGAATCTCGACGGCGGGCCCTTTCTTTTAGCGTGCAGAAGAAGTGGTTGCCCGTCCCCTATTTTTTCCCTCATATTCACCCAAACCTGCTGGTGAAACATGGAAAGAGCCCGTTATACTGCGCTCCCTTTATTACCCTTACCCCCCTCATCGCCCAGGAGCGGGACTGACTGGGCAGGGGAGTTTTAGTGTCAAGAATGAGGGGTCGTTGGTCTCGCTATCGGAAATGCTGCTCCACCGCTCCAAGCCGCAGCACCGGCGCCAGAACGCTGCGGCACAGCTGACAAGTGGATGGGCAGCAAGCCACGGTTGTCTTGGGAGAAGTGCTTTTTCCCCTTGTTTTCTTTTGGAATCAAAGCTGGAATCAAAGCTGGCGTTGATGCTGGCTTGGTGAAAGGGCACCGAGCAGTACTTGGTCCGTCTGATGGTGGATAGAGCAGGGACCAGGCTGATGTCAAGGGCCAGGTACAAAAAGGTAAGCGACCGAGAGTGCCGGGGTGAGCCATGTAAGACAACTTCAAGCGTGCGTGTGTGTGTGGAATGCTTTATTAAGCCGACTTTCCAGCGTCAGCGTCGTCCATTTCGTCAGTGACAAGGATTGCTCGTCCGTTGAACATAGATAGCATGTTCGCGACAGCGGGAGTCCAGTCCAGACAGTAGCAGGAGGTACACATGTGGTTGAGCAATCGCAAACAGAACTTGAGTGCGACAGCGACTGCGCGAGGTTGCAGACACAGCAGTGGTGATGCTCCAGAGAGGTTGTGGCATGTGCACATGGCATTCCATCCAGCATATCCGGCGAGACAAGCCGCGTCTATGTACTTTGGGTACACATATTTCGCTTGCCACATGCCACCGCCACCTACAGCCACGACATGCAGGCGGGATATTGGTTGGCGAAGAAAGGGCAGACCGTCCAGAGCAGACCAGCGCAGGAGCAGCGATAACGGCAACAGCACCAGCACCAGCAATTCCGGTTCGGGGGTCCGTTGGGCTTGATGGAAATGAGACGGTCCGCACGAAAGGATTTGGAGACCAAGGGGACGGGTACAAACTAGGAGGCCCAACTAACAATGAGCTGCTTGTCCCCAAACCCAAAGACGATTTTGGTCAGAAGCTTGTGTCTGTGTCGGGCGCTGTGGTTGGTTCCCGAATAGGCAATGCAGTTCAGATGCAGTGGCAGCGGTAGCGTCACTGCCCGCGGCACTCCTCGTGCCGGTGGTTGTGCTTCCTCATCTCGTGTGTTTGATTGTCGAAGGTGCTATTGGGCGGAGCAGCAAGGTTTTCGGGGTCTCGGATCGGGAAAGATGACGATGGAGCCGAGTTTATGGCGGAGCAAAAGTCAGCTGCAAGTCATCCGTAGAAGAAAGTGTCGCATGCCGGGTCGCGTGGACGCAGGTCGGAACTATGTTGGGGATGATGGCTTTAGAGGAGTCGAGACAGACGATGATCACGGCCGGTTATGAGGACACGATAGAGGATGGATATGGCAGCAAATTGGGTCGGCCGATTGCTGAATAGGATGGGAAAAAAGAAGAAGAAGAAAAGGAGACGAGACGAGGTCCCTCAAATCGCACCTTCTAACGACTTCCTTTGCCATGATAAAAAAGGCAAGTCCTTTCCGTCCTTTCCTTTCCTTCCGTCCGTGTACCTGTCCTTGTGTCCTTGTGAACGTCCTTTCTTCCTTCCTATCTATGGCATCCCTGCCCTGAGTTCTTCCCCAGTGTCCCTCATCGTCCCTTCCTTCTCCCCTATGCATCCCAGAAAACGAAGTAGAAGCAACCCGCATCTGAATGGACGAGACGACGACAACGACGACTACAATAATGGCCATTGGACGCTGTGGCCAATCGATTTCGAGGGTGTAAGGTAGCAGATCTCAATCGAACAATATCCATCAGGATCAGGTGAATGCCATCCACAGACGAGCAAGTGACTGGCTGTCTCTTGCACCCCGCGACAGACACGCTCGCATGCATATCCCGTCCAAAGTTGACCCCGCCTTGCATACCTTATATCGTACTATGCTTGGGGGTATTTAGTAGTAGTTACGCCTGTAAATCGTATATCGTATGTAATCGTGCATGTACGCAGCCCGCCTGCTCAGCCACAATGTCACCGGGGCAGGCTCCTGTTTCCAAACATAGAAACACCCTTCAGCCCCGTTCATTCATTCATTCATTCATTGCGTATTGGGGGGCAGACAGATCGCAATCGGAATCGCCCGCTTTTTTTTTCTTTTTTCTTTCTCTCATGCATGAATATACAGTATACCATGATACAGTACCTACCTCTTGCTATAATGCTTCGCTCCATTCTGTCAACCCTTTGTTTGGCCCAGCTGCAAACGCCCCAGAGCCTGACACAGTGGCCATCATCCGATCCAGTCGATCCCACCTCCTCATCCCATCTCAGCCCAGCTTAATCCATCCACCCAGGCAGACGGAGCGGCCTCGTCCTCCCGGGCTGTGCCCTGTACTCGTCATATCATATCGCCGCGAGCCCACAGATGTCAAAGTCTAACCCTGAAGGCTTGGCAGATGCTGAGCCCTATTGCCAAGACTGGACGACCCTGTTTCGTTCGGGCGACGACGCCCTAAACCCCCCTGTGTCTTCGCCCCAGCCACGCCCAATTTGTGACAGTCCAGCCCAGCCCAGGCCCTTACTCGGCGTTGCCTTCTCGTTTCCAACGACTTCACAGCGACTGACGGCAGACCAATGACGGAACAAAGGCCCTTGACCAAGTTTGACCGCTTCCGAAGACGATGCCGAACGGACCGGAAGTCGCATATGCTTGTATCCATATCTTGCTGGGATTCTACCAGAGGCATCCGAGACGAGCTCCCATGGCCAAGACCAATGTAAAGTAAATTCCTCCTACATGCATTCCAAAAAAAAAAAAAAAAAAAAAAAAAAAAAATCAAAAAAACTAAAAAAAAAAAAACTAAAATAGCTTCCAGAACAATGAGTATAACGCCACATGTCGTAAACGCAATTCACGACATGAACCAAGTTGCGTTCATTATACTCTGCAGATCTATCACGTGAAATGCATGCTATTCCGACCTCAAACCATTCAAAGCCCATCATCCGTATTCCCCGTGGTCTACGCGCTCTGTCCTGTGGCAGCGCTTCGCGGCTCGTTGTACGAACAAAGGATATTGCTGACGTCAACCTCTCTGGCCCAAAGTCAACCCTGACAGCTGCTTAGTTGTAACTGACGAGGTAGGTCCCCAGGTCGCTGAGGTTAAAAAGACGCTCATCCAGAATCTTGACCGCAGCGACGTTGAAGCGCTCTGACTGCCCAGCCAGGCAAGAGCACTGTCTTAATAACAACCTTCCGTCCCGCATGTTCTCGAGGCAGAAGACAACTCGGATGCGTAATTGACTTACAGAGCAGATGTCGAGTTTTCAAGCTCTCAAGAGGTGACTCTCGGTTTCAAAAAAATCGGCCGATTTGGCGATTTATTTGCACAAGCTTCCGCGAAATTGTGCAGGCACAGGAAGTCCCGTAAGTCTTAATCGTAACGTCAGAACAAGTGACACATTGCCAGAGGGAGGCAGCAAGACGAAAGGGCATTATCGGCCTTGTAGCAGCGCGCGTTCTAGATAGTAAGCGTTCGGAGGACCAGTTCTCAAACATGTTGAGCTATCTTATCCAGATATCTGTGCCTCCCTTGGCAGCTCGAAACCTTATGAGACAACTGCATCGAGTCGGCACGCCCGAGCAGAAGTCCATCACACTCGTCCATCACCGGAATTGAAAACGGCTTACCAGCAATGTGGCACGAAGCTACAGCTTAGAATTCCATGGTGGTTTATTGCATTTCCAATGAGTGGAGTGGAGTGTAAGATGGAGCCAGCATGTCCGTCTTTACTTCACAGCCGTTGCGGCATCGGAACTGAAGTCCCGATTGCCCATCCAAAGTGAGCCGAACAGCTGGCCCAAATTGCCCAAAAGTCTCGAAATCGTACTCTACTTCTGCCATCTTTTTTATTATTATTCTACGGTGTGCCGGAAGGTGGCCTTCATATCCGTACATTCAGCTGAGTTAATAGTAATCTGGCAGGAACCGAAGAGAGTACTATGTGGACCCCGGCGACGTCGGCCTCCGTTATCACCGCGACACGTGACCTTATTTCTTACTCAGCAGGCCGGCTGCATTCAACCACAGTGACCAGCTCTTCAGGCAGCTCCAGACAAACTAGGCCCAGAAAACGCTAGCGCCTCGGTGGGAAAGGGCCCCGGCACGGACCTTGCCAGCTTGACGGCACCTTTCGTCAGCCTCTCAGCCTGCTGAGCCAAACGCCCAAAGCGACGAACCCAGCCAGTACCTTTTGGACACTCACGATCAACATCACACCCATCGACTTCGCCATACCTGCCCCCCACCCCTTCCGTAACATCAGTCGTCCGATCCTTCTCTCCAGAAGAGTACCGCATATAATCGATAAATCCCCTACTGGGACCCGACAACTCTCGACGCTTCATCCCCCGCCGCCACCAGAGCTCCCACCACACGTACACCCCGCAGCAGCAAGCCCAAAAATGGCCGAACGCAACCTCCAACAGGTCCTCACCCAGCTCCGCGGAAAGGGCTCCTCCCTCCCCTACGCAGAGTCTTCCGCCCTCCTCTCCAAAGCCAAGCTTCACCTCCTCCAGCTCAACGCCCTCACCCCGTCCTCTGCCACCGCACAGCAGCAGACGTCCCCCCAGCTCCTCGCCCTCGCGCGTGAGACGTACGAGCACGGCGCCCTCGCCTCCATCCGCGCAAAGAACCCAGACGCCTTCACCCGCTACGTCCAGCAGCTCCAGCCCTTCTATGAGCTCCCCTCTAACCTGCTCCCGCCCAACCTGCCCGACCGCAACAAGGTTACCGGCCTGTACCTGCTCCTCCTCCTCACCCAGGGCCGCTATGCCGAGTTCCACTCGGAGCTCGAGAGCCTCGCTAACCGCGAGGGCGGCGGCGATAGCAGTGCTGTTGAGAGCGACAAGTTCCTCGGCTACCCCATCCGTCTCGAGAGGTGGCTGATGGAGGGGAGCTACGACCGCGTGTGGAACGCCCTCAAGAGCCGCGAGGTGCCCAGCGAGGAGTACGGAGTCTTCTCAGAGGTATGCTAGTCATCCAGCCCGTTATAGCCCTCCCTCAGTGCGGTCGGAAGCTAACCAACCTACCCTCAGATTCTCACCTTCCAAATCCGCTCCGAGATCGCCTCCAGCAGCGAGCGCGCCTACCCAAGCCTGCCCATCAGCTCCGCAAAGTCCCTCCTCTTCCTCGACTCGGAGGGCGACGTCATCTCTTTTGCCCAGCAACGCGGTTGGATTTTGAAGGACGGCCAGATCTTCTTCCCCGATACCGCGGAGGGCGTCGCCGCCGAGGACGGCACCACCGATAAGGAGATGAGCCAGATGGTGATAGAAAACACTCTCGGGTACGCAAGGGAACTGGAGACCATTGTGTAAAGATTGTGTAGAGAGAGGGGGGGTGAGAGAGAGAGACAGAGACATCGACAGAGACGGGGCGGCGAAGGCGGCGATGTCCTACTGTATTAATATCATGCGATAGACCATGAAAGAGGGCCATGGATAAGGGAACCTAGGCCGGGGCGTTTATGATCTCACGCATCGTGCATGCTTGCCTGCCTCGCAGTACTGTGACTGATATTGCAAATTCTCGACGGTGAGGGTTAGTTCGGGACCTCATGAACGTGAAGAGTTGAAAAGACGCAAAGCCGAGATAGTTGATAAACAGGCAATATATTGAAACGCACGCCGCAATCATTGATAAAGTGATGGCATATATTCGTCTCCCACAAACTATTGCTAACAATCAAAAGCCTGGGATTTCCGTCAGGCACTCCCAGCCTGTCTACTGTAAACTTTTCCCAAGACCCAACAACCCCCGACTGGCCGAGCGCACTGCAATTTCATGCAGCTTTTCCATCATGGGTCCATAACCATTATCCCGGCTCTTTACGCGAAGAGCTTCAGGCCACTGCCGTGCTTGCCAATCTCGCACACCTCGCAGACCTTGCAGACGCTGCCCTTGTACTTGGTGTGGTACTTGGAACCGTCGAAGGCGCACTCCTCGTACGAGGTACCGCTATAAATAGGTGTGTGGCTTGCAGCGCAGATATCAAACTCGGCAAACTGGTCAAACTCAATCTCAATCGCATCTGAGGGGTTGCGCTCGCACTGAGTCTTTGCTTTCTTGGCCTGCAGTTAAAAAAAAAAAAAAGAAGAAGAAGTTAGTGAATTATACTTTGGAACAAGTAAATGATTCGAGACTCACGTTTTCGGTCAGCTTACTGGAGCCGCCGTTGGCAATAATGCGGTTGGCGAAGCTGAGGGCTGATCCATAGTTCTTGTTACGTATCGCTAGCTGCATCGCGTTGTGCAGAGCAAGCTGTCGGTGAGGAACCTCGATCTTGGGGATGGTGAAGTAGGCAGAAAGCTCCAGGCCGCGCTTGAGCTGTTCGCCCGTGGTGCCAAGCTGACGACGGCTGAGCTCAATCTCCATAGCCACAGCGTACTCGCTGGCAGATGTGATGAGCTTCTTCGCTTCGGCCACCTCGCTTTCGCTGGACACGGCATTGATGAGGATAGAGTGTAGGATACCCTTGAAGATCTTGATACCGTCCTCAAGCTTGTTCGTCTTCATAGAGTTGTAACCCTGTTGAAGGTCGTTGGTAGCCAGGAACTCAAGGTCACGAGGCACGACTGGCAACACCTTTCTAGGGTCCGTCTCCTCAATCGTGCGCCGCACATAGTTGACCAACGGAGGGAGATTAGCAGAGGCCGGGAGATATGTTTTTGATGCCTGATAGACCTCGAGGAAACGAGGCTTCAGCGGTGCAAAGTTGACGGCTCCAACTTGTCTGTTGAGCAGCTGCATTGCTGACTCAAATGAGCCGCCAGCAACGTGATCCACGGCGAGAGGGGAGTTACGAGCCCAGAGGTCGGCCTCGCTGCTGCCAGCGCCCCCGGCCTCCGTGCTGTCAACATTAACGAAGTCGCCTTCAATCTCGGGAACCTCGTCGTCGCCCAGGTCCCAGCCTGCGGCGTCCTCGTCATCGGCATCAATGAGGTTGCCATTCTTCTTGGCAGCACCGTCATCTTCGGCCTCATCTTCGAAGCCGTTGGCAGCCGCGGGCTCGTCCTCCAAAGAAAGACCCTCAACCTGGCCAAGCAGAGCCTTCTCAAAGACCGACTGCGACGTGGCCTTTGTAGGCCAATTGGCCTTGTATGTAGGCACAACCGGCTTCGGGGGTGTCAGAGCTTCGCCGATAGTGGGAGTCTCCAGCTGGTCTTCCGTGAGGCCGGTAGCCTCGAGAATAGCTTGGCATTCCTCATCCAAGCCGTGAGACTTGGCCGTCATATACGCCAACGGGTCTAAATATGTTAGTTGAGATAACCGGCGCTCTGGGCGGCTTAAACTTACAGAGGTCAATCTCCTTGAACATCTGGATCCGGTCCTCCACCTCGCCGAGGTAAAGAGCATTCTGGAATCTCGCGGTGAAATCGCCGCGGTGCTCGGCGATCTTGGCCATACGAGCAAGCTTGGAGTGATCACCGGTGGACAGGTACAAGAAGGAAAGCTTGTCAAACTGCTTCAGCTTCTGGTAGGCCATCTCCACAACTTGGTGGTTGCCATGGGCCAAGGCTTCCGCGCTCAGTCTCTGCCACAGCTTGGGGCGGTCCAACTCCTTAGCCATCTCAACGGCAACATCAAGGTTACCGCATTCGATGGCGAGCTCGAACCGGGTTGTGGGATCCTGCACGAATTGCAGAGCAATTTCAGGATAGCCCTTCTTCTGAAGGTAAGAGATGATGGATTGGCCGACAAGACTAGAGTTCTGGATGATGTGCAGCATCTCCTCGTAGTTTCGCTTGACGAGCGCAAGCTTGAATCGGTACTCGGTCGGATCAACGTGAAGAACCTTGGGCTTCGCCGCTCGGTCAAGGCAGTATACATTGCGGCCCTTGACGCGGACCAAATACACAGTCTGATCCAGAGTGCGAACGATGCCATTGTCGCCGTTGAGCAGGGTGTACTTGATGTGGTTGAGGGTCGAGTACAGCAGAACACCAGCATCATCCCAGGTGGCGCTCTTGATGCGGATGGTCTCGTGTAGAGTGCTGACCTGCTCAAGAGTCTTTGTCACAATGGTGACGTTGTGCTTGCTCAGGAGCGCCGCGTAAAGGCCATCATTGGACCACACCACGTACTTCACACCGGTGACCGCGAGCTCGGCGACGCTCTTCTTCTGCTGCGTGTCGTAAAGATGAACAGCGGTCGGAGTAATGATGAGGAGGTTGCCAGTACCGCCGAAGTAAATATCGCTTGTTCCGACAGGGGGCTTGAAAGACCGGGTCGTGTTGTTGGACAGATCCTTGATATCGATCGTCTGGCTAGAGGTGTTCAAAACGGCAAAGCGGTTGCGCGCGACGAAGATGGCCGAGTTGCCCTGGCCACGCTTTGATTCAGTAGGCTCGATTGCGCCGGATCCATCACGAGGGAGGTTGATCAACTCATAAGAGCCGTTGTCGGAGGGAGACGTGACGAGTACTGAGCGTTCAGCGGGGTTGTAGGAAAGGGTTCGCGGCGGGGTCCAGGGGCTGCCAAGCTTCTTGAGCGACAGGAGAGTTGGGCTCTCGATGCTCTTCTGGAAGTCGTACGACTTGACGTGCTTCTCCTTGGTGATGTAAAAGAGATTGTTCTGGTATACCGAAGACGCCGGTCTCTCTCTCTCCAACTTGAAAACCATGACGCCGTTGTCATGACCAGCGGCGAACAAGTTAATCTCGGGGTGGGCCGCGATGACCCAGAACCGATCGTTCTCGCGCTTGAAGGATTGCACGGCGGTGCGCTTGTTGAGGTCCCAGACACGGATGGTCTTATCTTCGCCGACAGAGAGAATCAAGTCCTGGTGGGGGTGAAACAAGCAGCCAGATGAGTTTTGGAAGTGTCCTCTGCAAGTATCGACCTCCCAGGCCTTCGTTTCGCTCATGCGCCAGAGCTTGACGAGTCTGTCATCGCCAGCAGAAACGATAAGAGGCATAGTCGGATGAAACGCAACCCAGTTCACACCACGGTCATGGCCTTCCAGAACAAACTTGACAACGGCGTCGGTGTTGCCAAACATATCAGCCTGGTTTTGGTTCGAACGCGCAACCTGATCTTCGAAGGTCATCGATGTCGGGGCCGAGTGCTTCTTGCGCAAGCCGGAAATATCCCAGACACGGACAGACTGGTCGAGGGAGGCAGAGACGACGAGGTCATCCTTGGGGTGGAACTGAGCGCACATGGCGTAGTGGTTGTGTCCTGTCATGGTGCAGACTGGGAGGCAAGGTCAGTCAGTCAGAGTGCGCATTCACGGGCGGGCTAGGGAGGGTTGAGCGCACTCAGGGAGCGGTTTTGCCAGTTCCATATCCTGATGGTCTGGTCGTCGGAAGCCGACAGGATCCATGGCAGCTCGTGATGGAAGAATACGGTGCGGACGTAGTCGAGATGGCCGTTCAGGGTGAATAGGCACCGGCGGGTCTGGTACGACCAGACCTTGATCTTGTAGTCGTCGCCTCCCGAGACGAAGAGGGGCTGCGTCTTGTGGAAGTCAATTCCTCGAACCGGGCCATCGTGTTCTTCGAATCGATCAATCAGTGTTCCCATGCGGTAGTCCCAGAGCTGGATGGTGGAGGAGTGAAGGGCGACGAGGATCCATGGTCTGGTAGCTATGCGTCAGCAAGGGGGCCACATGTCGAGATGGGCATCCGCGGGTTTGGATGGTCCGCTCTCACCTCTTGGGATGGAAGGCGATGCCCTTGGCGCGCGAGGACTTGGACTCGAACTGTATTCTGGGTGAGCTATCGAGTGGACACGGAGAGAGGCTCGACCCAATGCGCCGAAGACAGGGCGGAAGCATAGCATACCTTGGTCAACATGCCCGAGGAGGCCTGCATTATGGCGGGGAGGTGAAGCCGGAGCTTCTAGCAACCAGCAAGGTGAAAACAGGCGGCACCTCTGGAGGGAAGGGAAGATAAATTGCAAGCCAGCTTACCGACCACGAAAGGTTGCAGCTGGAACTGGAGAGGATGGTGACATTCACGGGTCACGAAAAGAGGGCGCGGTGAAGGGGTTGGATGCGTAGAAGTATCCGAAGCAAGCAAGCAAGCGACAAGGTAGAGAGATACGTAAAGGCCACTTCCTCGTCTCAGCGCCCCTAGTAACAATTCCGCTTCGTGGCCATCTGTAAAGTGTGGGTTACGTTGTGGGCCCCAATGGCGCCGATTGACAGGAGCTCCCGCATCAGAGTTCCCCCGTGCTCCGGGTCCTCACCGCCCGATGCCATCCAGTCCTCCCTTGCAATGCTCGACTAGGTACTCCGTACCTAACTTTGGTACTCAAGCACATCATGCCTATAAGGGGGTACCGAAGCTGACATAAGCAAATGCCCCTCCAGTAG